CAATGGAGTGATGTAGATCACAAGACTACGTAATGTTCCCTGTTGCATTGAATTGTAAACTGGCCAGTTGATATACATATGAACATCTTTGGGGAGTCTGGTGGCCTAAAATAAATAAATAAAGTTGTCAAGGCTAGGTCATCCCGAGACTTTGTAGTTTTAAAATGTGGCAAACCACCAAACTTAACAAACAATCAACTCTCTCACTCTCTCTTTCTCAAAATATAAACGTTGTGTACAATAGGCAATAATAGTATTAGTTATGTTCAATTCATGTCACAGCTCAATTTCAACTCATTATACAGCATTTTTACAAAAATCCATCTTTTCATTCACCTGTGTTTCAGCTAGTACTTTTAGTATCAATCTGGTATAAATTAAAGAGGTAAATGGCTTAACTGAAAGAAGTATACAAAGTATACACAATGAGTGTTGATGATCACATTTTGTAAATATATTTTGACAGTGCAATTTTTATAAATTCAGTCCATAATACTTGATATCAAGTTGTGAATTCATGAGTAATCGGCTTAACCGAATCCATATATATATAAACATCTTGAAGTCATGCCTTTGGTAAATATTTCCTGAACAAACAGTTTCATAGATATTTTCAATCAATATTTCAATATTTTATTATTTGCAATTTTACAGTTTTACAGAGAATACCCGAATTGAATTGATTCAATTTGATCAATTCATATCAAATCTTTCATCAACAGATATTTCAATTCGTAGAGTGTTTAAACAAACACATCTATTAGTTGTAAGAAGTGTTTAGAATTAAGCTGAAGAAGGTGTGAAGGAGGACATATCAGACCTCTCACGGTCCATAAATCGGACTTCTGGGGTATTTAATTGCAGGGCCCACTTAACATCTTTAATTCCACTGCGCACTGCTCTGTAATTGTATGTCCTCAGTAGTTCAATTAGAAATTAAATTAAATTCATTAAAACCCCACCAGGGGGCAACTTTTTGTTATACTCACACCTGTATGGAATACCTAAATTGTATTACATAAAGGTGTGAGGTGATTTTATTTGATGGAATGATCAGTTAAGAGAGGAAATAAAGTAGTTGTATTTCCTTACAAAAGAAATAAGTAAATAACTTTTTTTTTTTCTTTACAAGTCACAATGTCATTAGTAAAACTATGTTTGAATGAAAACTATTGTATTTCAAATATATTACCTATCAGTGTCAAGTGATAAGACATAAAGACATGCAACACTAGCTAAGATGGATAAAAAATTATCCTAACAAATATAGACTCTTTTTTTAAGTAGAAAAAATGTAGGCATTTATACTTACCACACAAGTCTAAAAAAGGTTGCTTTCCCTTGTGTTAATCTCAGTGCAATGTGAAAGCCACTATGACCTCATTGTTAGCATAACAATCATTATCACTTTACTTGTATTATCAGTAAAGGTGTAGAAAGTAATGCAAAAAGTGTATTGACTAGTTGAGTAAACCAATAAATTAAACTCAGGTACAGAGAGTTAGTTTATGTGATGTGGTAACATTATGAAAGGTGGTTTCTAAAACTATTGATACTTTTAAATACCTGCCATATTCATTAAGTATAATAGAAATTAAGTAATAACATACTCCATTAATGTTAAACAATGAACCTGAATTTGATACAGATAAAACATTGATAGCTAAAAGAAATTCATACAAGTTTTAAATCTCAAAGTTGCTTTGATTTGAAATATATAAAGTGATATATGACACGATTGTATTTTACAATGGTATTTTAAATTTATAAGTTTTGGGTACCTATGTTATTATTTTTTTTCTTTGTGACAACATTGTTTTTTACTGTGCATTGAAATATAGCTTAAGGTTCATGAGGTATGTGATTTTAATTAGTGTAAAAATAACTAAATTTATAATTAATAATTCAAAATTTTCCACAAAAAAGAGCTTATTTTGAAATGAATAATCAAATTATGATTACATTAAAATGTTTGTATTAAATAAATCTTTAAAATTAGGTATAATATGATATATTTGACATTTTTGAGAATTATGAAATTTTTGAGAATTCTGAAATTCAAACTAGTGACACAATTTTTGGAACATCTTGCCCATACTCAAAAAATTTAAAATATGTTAACGTTGTTGCTTGGGAACTTGTTGTTGGGGGGGGGGGGGAACTTTACTTATAAAAAAGTTGTATTTCATCATTGCAGAACCGAGGGTTTGCCGGAAATCAATACTGGATCCCTTACAAAATTCACCCTGTATTTTTACGGGCCTGCAAAAATATTTGAATAGGTTTTAAAGTATTACTAGTGTTCCTGTTATTCGAATTCGAGCAATTGCTAAGTATTACAGGCGTTATTTTAAAACGAATAGCAGTCATAATTTCTGATGACTTTCAAAGATTCAACTCAAAGATTATGGAAATACTCAAGATGTACATAACAGATCGATATAATCACCATTTCGCTTAAATAACTTATCATTTTTCAAAAGCTGATCTTGTTTTTTAGTGTTTTCTACAAATAGCCTTAATCATAGCCACATTAGGTTGCTCATACTAACGATTATAAATATAAAAAAAACATTATTTCTATTTCTTCTCCTTGGTGGTGTTCTATGACTTTTCTACATAGTTGTTTACATAGTCTGCAAATCGCCTCTTTCAATGATTACTAAGACATGCGGCACAGTGTAAATTCAGTTTTCTTTTTAGTATATCAAATTTTCCAGGCTCCTCGCTTTTTTCCATTGTAATATTTACGCCAACCCAAATTCAATATTTCAATATTTCATTTCAACCAAGTCAGTAAATGTTTGTAGCAAACTGTTAAATTAGCAAACATATTGACTGTTTACAATTAACATATGTTCTTCTCACTTTTAATTTCTGACAACAGCTGGAGTTTCATAACAATTTTTGTTTCCCATGTTAATCTTATGGAGAAATACGAAACTTTAAAGGGCCACAGGGCCTCACTCTCTAATTATTTCCCTAAAATGAAAGTTTCCTGCACAACTTCACGTTACGCTCTTTCCAATGACACCATAAACATGTCAATTGGTTCAGTAGTTTCGGAGGAGTAATTGTCACAAAAAACCTGCTTGCGTATTAAATAAGTACTAGAGTACCCGTGCGGCTCAATGAGCCGCATAGTATGAAACATAACTCCGAGGAAAACGTTATGCTTAAATTAGAGTAATTCTACTTACATCTTAGAGTAGTTTAAACACTTGTTAGAAACTAATTTTAAAAACCTCTATTTGCGTTGTAAAAGGTTCACCTACCTACATTATTTCTGTGCTCAGTTTTAACTGATAACTCCTAATGAATGCTAAACGATCTGCTTCAATTCGAGTTAACATGTTACAACAAAGTGTTTCCAGAATTGAGAATTAAAGAAAACTGTTGCCTTGCTGATAGCCTGTGTTAAGTAATTTAAGTTTGGGTCATTTTATTTCTTTGATTTGAGACTTCACTCTAAACAAACAAATTTTCTCCGTAGAGAATCCTGAAAAGGTGGGTGATATCAACCATTTTATGTGGTCCATTTTTTACCCACAAACTCTGGGTTACCAACTGGACAGCCTTAATCTGCGTTGAATAATAGGCTAAAGCAGCAACACCATTGAAAGATGGTTAACGTATTTTAACGTGTTGTCTGTCAGTCACAGTATATACCCCGCATCATAACGTTCTCACGTTGTTCAATGGAGTACCAAATTTTTGAAAGTATGGATTCTTTTGTCGAAATAGGTTGGATAACTCTTGTAGCTATAAAATTTGGATATCAATTTTCATTTTCTCTTTTTGAAAAGCGTATATTATTTGCCTCTCCTGAATCATAAAAATAAACTTGACCGTAACTATTCGATCGTTAAATACATAAACACTAATTCCTTCACTTATGTTTGATCTAATATTGCCACTAACTTTTTGAAACTTCTGATTTTTGATCTGAAATGTCTGGATTGTGTTGGTGAATTCAGTCCAAAAATTTGGTATATAAGTTTGTCAGAGATACGGGCAACACAACCTAGAAGTAAACAATCCATTTGCGTTTTTCTCAATTGAAGTAGACTGAGTAATACAGAAAGTTTACAATAAAAACATAAGGTCCGCAAAGATGTGGTATAATCTTACTACTTGAACTTATCATAGTCAATGCATTATTATAGTTTCTACTAAATGTTTTGAAATTTCTCGATCTGTAAGTGTCAGAAGTAAACAATTCTTGCATGCATTCATTTGATCTGTGATTAGCCAAGTTTACTTTACCAACGTGAAAACACTATGTGCTTCGTATATTTTCCACGACCAAAGTAAGTTGCATAGCATAACTGTCAAATATTATTCATCTCACCAAGTGAATTTGTATCTGGATGGGTATCTGTTAGACGGGGATCTGTTTTTCTACTCTCCTCATACACATAAGATATCTTATTATTAATTGTCTCCTCCTCCCGTTTTCAATGTTTCTTCTTTGAACTTGAGGCATTTTCTGTTCTTCCAACAAAACTGATAAACTGTTTAACTTGGCCTTATTACAAACAATAATATTTACTCCCAAAAAGCTAATGAGTTCCTTTTCATTAACAGCTGTTTTTTGTTTTTAAATTTGTTCTGTGTATTTCTTATGGGGGAAACCCGACCTTTGAGAGGGTCTCACGCTCTTAAGAGTAGGAATTTTAAAATTGTAAAACCTTATTGCAAAACTACATATTGAGACGAATCTTTCGACACCTTAAACGTTGAAATTGGTCCACAAATAAGGGAGGAGTTGCCTTAACAAAAAACGGCTTCACGTATTATATATATAGATAGATAGATAGATAGATATTAGATTTACAATTAATTAATACATTGCTTTTATATAAGACTTATTTTGTGTTGAGCATATATAAATGGAAATCAGTACAAACTAAAAAAAAATAATGGGTAGTTTTTAGGGTTCACAATGACTATACAATCAATGGATGGGGACGAGTACAGAAAGTTTGAGAAGCCATGTCTTAGACAGTATTTATTATGTATTGATAGTTTTCCCTGTAGAGTTTCTGCAGGTAAATTTCCATTTCGAATCTGATCTGATCGTGGTACATGCTGCCGCTTATTTCAAACACTGTTGGATTCCGCATCCTCCTATAAGCCTCCACAAGTCTATAACAGAATTGTTAAACTCGTGTAGAAATCTTTTAAAAGTTTATCCCTTCTTCAATGTGTTTGGTGATTATGTGTTATCTTAGTATAGTTTGTAATACTGGCTGGGTAGCTAAATGGTGATGGCGTTTGCCTAGCAATCAAGTTTTGAAGTTTAGAAGTTTGCCAGTTCAATCCTGAAAAGTCAGTTGCTTTTTGTTCAAAATCATATGAGTTTGGACCGCTTTCCCCACAAATGTTTTACTAATACTCTCTCTCACATTTCCTGTGAACAATGCAAGGACAAATAAAGGGTATCACCAATCTGACACATACTATCTCCAATTAGTGTGTCAACAACCTTTATCGTGGGTAAGAGGTGGGAGTAACTTGATAACTAGTGTCCCTGTTGCTCGAATTCGAGCAATTGCTAAGTATTACAGGCGTTATTTTAAAACGAATAACAGTCATAATTTCTGATCTTTTAAACCGTAATATTTACAGAAATGGGAGGTTACGGTTTTGTTTAGAATCATAAGGACCACAACTTACCATAGAACCAATGAAGAAAATATAACTCACAGTAGCTCCCCCTGTGAATGGATCATTAAACTATTTTCTTTTGTAATAAAAAAGGCTATTGCTATAGGCTGTTTGATGAAGCCTGTCTCCTGAATCTTTATCTACCAGAGACTGGCTCCAGCCCTAAACCATAGGCAAGTCACCAAGTGGACAGAGGAACCGGAGTCAGGTTCCAGCATACAGACAGACAACGTAGATGTTATGTCTTTGGTACCCAAAAGTAAAAGTTCTACCTTGGATGGAACATGCTGATAGGAGCGTCAGGATCATTCTTGGTCTGCGGAGTGTTGATGAAGAACTCAACATCCGGAGGTATCAAGTCCTCTGGCCACTCGTAGATGGGCGAGTTTTGTGGTGGCATGTTCCGCAAGGAATATTTCTTGGCTATGGAGAACGTCGCTTGATCGTGCCAGTATCTGAGAACAAAGCGAATGAATTTGAATCTCGTAAAATCACAAACCTTGGTCAGTATAATCTCTTGAATTAATTTCTTTCAAAGGTTGGTGGCTTTCTCTATCCAAATGGACTTGTGTGGATAACATCAAGCAAAACAAGGGGTGATGTAAACAGTACAAGAATGAACAGTCATCATTAAATGTTTCGTTGGCACAGGATTGTTAGCGCTGCAGGATTGATAGGTTCCTGGGGTTGAGTCTGCTACGAACCCCACGCCGCACCGGACTAAATCAGTATTATTATGATAGCGCTAACTAAATGTTTGTGTATTAGTACAGTTTTAATGTTTTTATCTTCGTGTCATCCTTGTTTCAATTGTGTTTAGACAAGCTGCAAGCTTTAAAAATGTTATCTTCGCAACAAAACATGTAAGCTGATGAGCAGTATTAGTCGTTGGACTATTTTACATAGGTATGTAAAACCTATTATTGTATTTCAGAATAAGATTGTGGATTTTTCCTGTGGCTCTCTTTGTAAGGCATCAAAGGCAATAAACATTCTTAAAAGGGAAATTTTTAAAAGGTAGCTAATTAAAGTCTTTTTGTTTTCAGTTTAAATTTTAAAATCAATACAAAACATTATTTTTACATAATTTATAACTATGTACGTGACTAATCTAGTAACCTATTAATGTATTGTATTGATTTGATCTTATGTTAGAGAATAAATGAATGAATACAATTTTGAAGAACTTGATTGCTTATTTGAATTTAAAGATAAAACAGCTGGAGTTTTCATATTGCTAAGTGTTTTCAACTACACAACGTATAAAGAAGGTAAGGGAAACTCCTAAATTTGTAAGTGGATATAAATCCTAACCCCACATTTAGCTAACTAACTAACCTACATAACCTTACTTATTTCCTACACTTTAATCTCACAAAAAAATGCAATACAATACAACAATGGTCCCAGAAAACAATTTTGACTTAAACTAAACTTATGACTATACTAATCAGCTGATTGCTTCTACTATACTTACGCAGACAATATGATGGTGTGGTTGTACCAGTGCCGGGTGACGTTGATGGCGCCAGCGTACATGCACAGAGAGAAGTATGCCCGGCGCAACACCAGGTTGTCATGAAAGTAGTCTCTCATCGGGTTCAGACAGGTTGGCGGGTTTCTCATCAACAGAGCTTTCATGTTGTAAGATAGCTTCTTGGCAACAATCCGTCTGGCTAGCAAATAAATATGTCTCATGAAAAATACTATTTTGAGTGCTCAGTTAAAATTGTAGATAAAATATACATGATGTTTAAAAAGAATGACACAATTTTATAAAGATGTATGTAATCAAAGAGTCATAACTGAAACTTTTGTATTACATGATAACAAATTTAAAGATTAAAGTCATACTTTAAAAGTTGTTAAGCTGCAGTGTCTGGCATTAATTAAAACTTGTTTGTCAATTATTTTAATTTATCATAATGTTAAACCTTTGACAAGGAATAAAGCTAGACAATCAAATACTGGTCCATATAAATCGGATGTCTACTTTAATATTCAAAGTCGACACTGAACATAATTAACAAATACTGTAAATTAAGTAAGAAAGATATACTGACTGTCTCTATCTGAACCCTCCACCACTATAAGAGGTTTCCGACGAATACTACTTTGATTGTCGAGGGCTTCCAGCCTTTGTTCTTCTTCTTCTGACAGTTGGCAGTGGTTGTGAAAAGCATACAACACTTCTTGCACCTTAGAGTCATTGGCAAACTGAAATCATTGATTCCAGGAATGAAGTCTTTAGATGTAAAGTTGTAATGTACTCGCTAATGTAGTCTTCACAAAAAATAAAGAATTTTTATTGGTTGTTTGGAAATAAGAAGCACAAATATTAACTGATTAATAATTGTGTACCATTCTATTTAGGTGTTGTAAAATATTTATTTTAATTTTTAGAAAGCTAGTGCGGCTTGTGGTTTTTCAATGAATGGACGGATATGTTTCTGCAAAGTACTATTTTTTGGTAATATACTTTGATGGGTTTTTTCCATATGGAAATTTTAGTCTGTTCTGATAAAAATAGTTCAGACCTGATTTACGACACGGAATTCCTATTTTAGTTCCTGATCAGGTCTGAACTAGGGAGTTCAGGATTTGTTCTCATTCCTGATTCAGGCCTGAGTTCAGATCCTGAATAAAGGTCGTTCATATTCTGAATCAGCTCTAAGCAGATTATGAATTGGAATACAGATCATTTTGATATAGATATTTAAATTTAAATATGGTTGGGCAACTGAACCGTAGGATAAATTTATATATTGTTTTAATTTAAATAAAATTACTATTACATACCTTGACTTGACGAAACTGTGGTGAATTTTTGTAACAAACTGCGTCTCACACCTGTAATATTTTGTTTGATTGAAGTGAAAATGTCAAACATAAACAAACTTCCTACACTGTTAATATTTTAAAAGATAAGTTTTGAAATATTAGTTGGATTTCTCTTATAAGACATCCTTTTTTTTCATGTTTGAGTTTCAAGTTTTTCATGATTGAGTACATACTTCTGACATCTCTGAAGGGGGAAAAAACACAAGTTTATTTCAAGAATTCACCACTCCTTGCTTAGGTTTTATTACAATTATGAAATTTAGTTAAATGAAAGGGTTGAAATTTATATATCTTAGAAGTAATTTACAGTGGTAGCAAAACGGGAGTGCCGATGGAGACCTGTGGGGGTGCGTGCGTTTGAAGGGACTTGACCTGGTCTCCATCGGCACTCCCGTTTTGCTACCACTGTAAGCTACATCAGAATATTGCTGATATTACATTTTTGTATACAAGTATACTAATTTAATAATTGGTACCAACAAACACATTTTGAATTGTTTAGCATTCACATTTTAAGGCAAGCAAATTGAACATTTACTATGTAGATTTTGTTTTAGATAAATTACTGTAATTTAAGATGGTTATAAAGATTGAACGATAACTTCCTTATTTCATCTGTAATTTCTTTACAACAATTTAATGCTATAACTAAATCACCTTTGGCATCTCGAATGTCTTGAGAGTTTCTCTTAAGCTGTAGAAAACTATAAGGGTTCTTTGTTGATTCCATGGGTTCGACGGGAAAGCAACTAGAAAAAAAACCAATATTTCAGTAGATATAACCATTTTTTTATTAGACATTTTATTGAAATGCTTTGGTAATAAAAACAAAAAAAAACCCTTTAAGATTGTTGTATTTGCTGTTATCTCATACGAGTATATTTAAAAAATTTGGTTTTTCTTTTCCGAGTTCATTTGGCTCTTCTACCCAACCGATTTTCATGATTGAGGTCTCAAAATGAAGGTATGCACGCACAGATTTCACATCAAGCATCAGCATATATTTATCTAATGTTTTACTCGACCGAAAAACATAAATTTGATTTATTTTCTAATTCTTACTTCAATTTAAGATGTATTTCACCAGTTATAATTATATAATCCTATATATTTTGGAATATATATCTAGAACCTTCAGTGAAATATCGGCTTTCGTTTAAGCTATTAGTTATTCAAATTGGACAAGTTTCAAGCAAACGCAAGGTGAACAACCAACATAAAAATTATTTTTGATGAGGTTTTTCTATGATTAAAATTCAATAGCTCCAGTATTGTTTATGTTTTTTGTATGTTTTAAACTCAAAATAATCAGTAAATTATAGGCTTTAATTTTAGCTATTGAACGTTTGAATCAGTTAAGTTCAAGATATTGTATTACTCAATAAAATATCATAAATTTAATTATTTCTTCGATAACAATCTTAAAATGCTATGGGAAGGGAGGGAAATAGGTCCGCGGCGTAGGAAGTGGCGAAGGAAGTAGTAAAGGCGAGTAGTCCGGAGTGTGGGAACTGTTAACGACGATTAGATTAAGGTATCTACAATCTTAAAATGCTATGGGAAGGTAGGAAAAAAGGTCCGAAACGTAGGAAGTGGTAAAGGAAGTAGTCAAGGTGAGCAGTCCTGAGTGTGGGAACTGTTTATAAGGATTAGATTAAGGTATCTGCAATCTTAAAATGCAATGGGCAGGGAGGGAAACAGGTCTGCGACGTAGGAAGAGGTGAATGAAGTAGTAAAGGCAAGCACTGTGGAGTCTGTGAACTGGAAACCAATTGTAACAGTTCGATTTCTGTATCTGAAAGTGAAATACTGAAATGCTATGAGATGGGATGGAAAGATGTCCAAGACATAGGAATTAGTAAATGCTAGCAGTGCGGAGTGTGGGAAATGCTGTTGGCAATTAGATTAATGTATTTAAAATACTAAAATGCAGTGGAAAGAGATGACAACATGTCCACGACGTAGGAAGTAGTAAAGTGTAGCATCGCAGAGTGTAGGAACCGTTTGTGTCAGTTAGATTAATGCATCTCTAATACTTAAATGCTATGAGAAGGGAGGGAAACAATGACGTAGGAAATGGTGAAGGAAGTAGTAAAGGCTGGCATCGCAGAGTGGGGGAATGATTTTCCCCGAGCAAAGCTCGGTCTCCAGGTACTGTTAAACTTAATCTAACAACAATTTACTTCCACAAAGGAGAAATTTGCGTCTAGGGGAGTCATAAAAATGTGAGTTTTTATTTACTTTTGAACTTTAGAAGAGACACAGGAAAACCAAATTTTACTATTCATTACTATTACAAACACTTCGTTTTCTCAAAGTTGACCTTTTCTAAATAAAATACATAATAGAACTAAAAACACATTTAGCAATAAGCATATCCAATTCTTGCAAAACCATCCAACAATCTATACAAAAACATATACTTTCTATTGTAAACTAATTCCTTTCACTCACCTTTAGCTGAATAACCAGTATCAAAAATAAATAAAAATAGGCAATAAACAAAGTTCATTACAATGTTGAAAAGTTCAACCATCCTGTAATATTTAATTAATTGGTCTTGAATGAAAAATTCTAAAAGTTAAACTATTTAACTAAGTAGGCTTGTAATGTAAGACTTTTAAAACGCATAACATGCGTTCCAACAATCTAATAATCTCTTAATTGCTAATAATTTGATACCCCTGGTTCTTCAACAGTGTGTTGGAATGCAGTAGTTCATCTATGACAGTACTCCCCAACAAGCTTCGATAAGGTGTCTTTTTCATTAAAAATTGAAAAGTGTGATGGGTTTTAGTTCTTCATAATTTACTACAAGATATTTAAAGTCAGTACTAAAAGTTTGGTAAATAAATATACAGTCTTAGCTTTGAAAATGATATTTCTTTAAATAACATTTAAACAATTTTTCCAGATTATACCTTTCACAATTTCTACTTTGAATGCTTTTACTATGCTACATAAATCTCCATTTCCAATCTTGAAGAATGTAAGAATTATTTCAGTCATCCAGTTTTTTACTAAAGTGGATGACTGGGATCCATCCTAGTAAACTTCAATGTCAAAGATTGATCTATTGGACATATCACACAATTGAACTGGTTTAAAATCCAATGTTTTCTAAGTGTTTTGGTAATCCATCCTCAAGACAAGGTACAATCTTTGACTAATGATACAACTAGACATTCCATCCCTATGTCAAATTTGCTGCCGGCTTTTTAATCTAAATCGTCGTAGTTGATGTGAGCCACGGCAGATTTTGCTGACCTAAATCACTGATTTCTGTCAAAAACTTGAGCTTTTTTACCAATTCAAACTGATGGAAGGACTTATCATGAGTTATAGCAAAGTTGTTTATCACCCATAAACTAAGGCCTGCAACAAAAAATAAGGTGGAAAATCATATTTTAGACACTAGCGCATTCTGTGACTGGCTCACACAACTACATTCTTTTTTGATGAAAAATTAGCGACAACTGATCCATATAGATGGGATATCTACTTCAGTATCCAATAGTCAATGGTACAATTCAACTAAATATGTTGAATACAATTCAGTTGAATTGTAGCTTTTCTCAAATATTGAGTATCCTAACTCATCCAAAATATTGACAAGTGAATTTAAAACGGTTTAACGATGTGGTCACCTTCCAAAATATAAGATTTAACCATAAATAAAACATACTCCCTTTAGTAGATTTCTCATCCTTACGGAACAGCTGAAGACAATGTTAATGTTATTTCTGTACGGTGAACTTACAGAGGTAGATTTTTGTTTACAATTTGTTTCTTGTTATTTCAGTAATTTAAAACATCGTTTAACCAAATCTTACTAATATTATAAATCTGAAAGTTTGTGAGTTTGTGTGTATGTTTGTGTGTATGTTTGTGTGTATGTTTGTGTGTGTGTTTGTTGCTCAATCACGCATAAACTACTGGACGGATTGGGCTGAAATTTGGCATGATGATAGCTCTCATTCCCGATTAACATTAAAGCATATTCTTATCTCAAAAACCCTTTCGGGCTCCGCCCCAGTGGCTCTGTAATTCCCCATGTTAATCTTATGATTTTTCATATTTAAAAGGAATTAATGAATCTTAACAGCTGTTTCAATTAAACAAGTTGGTTCTGTTCTATGATGTTCAATAGCATAAAAGTTACAAGGATTACCAACAGGGTGCAGCACTATAATTTTTTTTCTAATTTATGACAACAGCTAATTTCCAATCAAAAGGTGAGTGAGCGTAGCGAACGAACTTCAACCTGGAGGCGAGTTAGCGTAGCGAACGAGCTAATCTGAAGGCAAGTGAGCGCAGCGAACGAGCTCCAACCTAAAGGAGAGTGAGCTTAGCGAACGAACTTCAACCAGGACGTGAATGAGCCATGCGAATACTTATGAAGTTAAACGGGGCGAAGCCCGCGGGTACAGCTAGTAATACAATATAATCAAAAATATTAACTTGTCCCCTAGTTATATAACCAAACAGTAAAGCTCAAACCAATAAATTAACCCTGAAATAATAGAAACAAAATTTTGTCAACACTAGTGCCCAGTGTCACCATACATTAACTAGACACGAAAAACGAGCTTCAAAATATACAATGTGATGAGAAGTCTACTTGTTTTTGTTAGTCTATGATAATGTCCATTCAGCTACCCAGCTGTTTTAAATTACAGTAGAACCCTCGATAACAAGACCCTCAATAACAAGTCACCCTTGATAACAAGGGTAATTTTCAAATCCCCTTGAAATTATTTTACCCCTAAACACAGGTTAGGGTATTGTAAACCTCGATAAGAAGTCAACCTTGATGACAAGTCTTATTTTATTATCCCTATGAGAGTCTTCAAGGTTCTACTGTACTAATTACTATAAGATACTTGAATCGTTTTACAAAGCCAAAAACACAACATTTGTAGACTAGCATCTTTTGATAAAATATCATAGAAGGTAAATAAAAAAATCAATAACATTCAAAAGTGCTACGCCTTTAAAACTCATGAATGGATTTATGGGTAATGGGAGAATAAAATTCACAGGAGAATGAAAATGTCTACTTCTATTGGTAATGAAAGCTACCACAGAGTCAACAATACAATGTTACAGATGGGATTTTACAATGCTTGATGCTGAAAGACACGATGATGGTCAGACTTGTGATGGTTACAGAAGAGGTTCGCGTGGTCGGTCTGACAGTAACGGATATTCCTTCTCCAGCTTGGTGTTGATGTGGTGGATAATGTTGTTGGCCATTATGTGTACAGAGTGTCCGGCATCCACTTCTATCACCGCAGGGTCGTGCATGGTGCGAAACAACTGCACCATCCTGTACAAAATAACATAGCTGTAGACAGTGCAATGAGCTGGATGAGTTTGGAGATTAAAAATAATCGGTTGAAACCAGCTGTTTCTTGGTAAGGACCAATAAAAAGCACAATCATCACGGACAATAAGGTCCAGATTGCAGATTCAAACCATAAAAAAAAACAATTTCTTTAGGATGGAACTGGTGACCTTTTGATGAAATGCAGATTTTGAATTTTTATGTTTCGTAGATTACTCGATCTCTGTACATGGATGACGATGCACCAGTTTAATGTTACCTGCTGTAACTCATAAATGTTATGTGCAAATAAATACTTTGACTTTGACTTTGACTATGGACAAAAAGAGTGTAATTTAGTTCTGAGGCGATCTCTTGTACCAATAGGACATGATTGTTTGTGAATCTTTGTAGGTGACAATGAAGGAATAAAAAAGTAAAACATAATTTTTGGGTTGAGCTTTTCCAATGAACACAAATAAGGTTTGTATTCATTGGCTTTACTAAGTGAGTTGGTATCCAGCATAAAGAAAAGAAAATTCACATTGATAAAAACAAAGACTAAATTGGTTAAATGAAAGAGCGTTTTATATCAAAATTCTTTTGTGATGGAAGGTCTTTTCCCTCGCTCTTGAAACAAGATACCGGTTTGGCCAACCAAATAAAACTTCCTACGAGCAACAACTTCCATCTTTTTACTCAGGCTAAGTACAAACCAGCAGCTAAGCTATTAACTAAAGATTGATAGGTGGTGTATGTCTAGGTAAGATTTTACGATTACTTACTTAAAGGTTCTAGTTTCTAATCAAAACTTACTTCTGAGTGAAAAGATTGGTCGTAGGATCGTCAGGAAAGTTGAGGAAGAAGATGAGGTCTGGCTTGGTGAGGTCGCTTGGCCATTTGTATACCTCATCCCCGGCTTCAGGCAAGGGTGTGTCTACGTACGTCTTGGCAATAACAAAAATGGCCTGGTCATAGTAGTACCTGCACAAGTTTTTTCCATCAAGTACATGCCTTTTTGTATTGTAATGTAGTGTAAAGTTTCAAAATTATAATATAACCTAGAAATTTTGTGGCCGCGGTCTTCTCATAGTGCTCATTGTCATTGTGCTCATTGGTCTGTTTGAAGTCTTGGCTGAAATTGTCAAGCTTTAAGCTGTACAAATTTCATGCTTAGTGTATAATGTGCTGTAAACTACACACTTTTCTTACGTAGCATGTTGTTTAGCAAGTGATATCTTCATTTGTTTATTTATTTCAGAAAACACTTTTCACTGCTTTTTCTGTAAACGTTGTTTCTGTGTTCAGGCACCACCAAATGGTTCTGCTGGACAGTGCTGCCTTGATATAAAATAAAAATTATGTTTTATGGAGTACGGATTTCTATCATGGTCATTAATTAGGGATGTAAGATTAACCTTGCACTCAGATTCCCTTTCAGATGTTTTAATGTGCAAAAAAACTCTACTCTATGTCATTTTTTTCAAACATGCGTTCTAATTATCACAATAACACGGATCCCTAGTAAAAGAGGGTTACAATTGGTTTTATTACCGAATAGTATTACAATATGCCAAAAAATTTTATAGCAAAATGGGTTGTTTTACATCACTGTACTGTATCGTACATTGCGACAATCACCACAAACATCCTTTGGTATTACAGTATTATGAAAGAGCACACGCTATAAATTTCTCTTAAAAAAGCAGAATACATAGAATAGTCGAGTGCACTTAAGTGTAACCAGCAATAAAATTCATCAATGCCGGTTTCAGATTTTACAATAAGGTCTACTAGTAGTTTCTAAGTCCAATGATTAGCCTAAAAATATTAACTCCTTACAATCTTTGAGTTGTATACCTACTTCTCCATGACGACAGGTTGAAATTTACGAGCGTGTTTCACCAAGTTACTCGAAGCGTATTTAGCCAAAGCGTAATATTTGCGACGGAGGAACATTCCATCAAACGCTGTCGAGAATCCTTGCATTATCTTGGGAGGGTTGGTGGAATAAACGGCTCCGAGTGCATGAGCTACCAGCTCCGTAACTGTTCTTCTTCCTGGAAAAAAACCGATTGACGATAACTTTTTTTTATAATTAGTGGCCTATATCGTGCATTGCATGACTATAACTATAGTAAATAAAGAGTTAGTAATTTGAAGAATCTTGGGGAAAGAGCAAAAGACACACAAGTATTTTAAGGCAAAGATGATTGAAGGAAGAGTTTTGAACAAATTATATGAAAGCTTTGTTACTTACCAAAATCAGCTGTTTTTTTTTTTTATCTATGTCTTTAGCTTTAAAGCCCAATGATCAAGAACGGATGGGTACAGAGTTTTAAATTGAGCTACTGACTTCTCTTAGGAATGAACCGGCAACCTTATGATTTGTAGGCAAGCATTATATCTACTCTCCTAACCAACAACGTAGACCAATTACCAAAGAATTTCTGGAAGACGTTACAGGTATGTATACATCAAAATCGAATCCAGATTTTACGATAGAAAGGCAGGTAGTATTCTAAATGAACAGTTGTTGTGTAACGTTGGAACACGTAGTACCGGAGTTCCCATTCTGTTTTTCCCAAAAATCTTATATTTTGATAGGTGATCTTTTTCCCCCAAGACCATGGAGAATGTTCCCGCACAGGAAAATTTTTGTCTACTGAAAATACATGTTTAAACTTAGCAAACTATTAAATCAGTCAACTTCAAGTGAGAACATACCGTTAGTTACCTGCATTATAGACTGACTCGATGACGATGAACGGGTGATCCGGCAGACTGTCAGACATGTTGAAGGCTTTACTGACTGTTTCGTTGTATCTGGCAATCATCTCTGCAACTCCAGGAACCCTGCTTATCTAAAACCAACAGAACAGCTTCAAATTGGCAACCAGAGGAGGAACATTAGTTGAGTATGTGAAACTCCATGAACAATGTTTTGTACAAGTTTTGATGGGAAAGGTTCGCAATGATCCCAAAAATAACAAAATTTACATTAATCTTACCATTATAGTTCTTTGTTTAACGTTTATCATTGGTGATAGAGGTTCATTTATTGAAACATGTGAGAACACCCCAATTTTATTTTGCTATCACATATAACTAATGCAACAATGAATTTACTAAAACATCACATGAGTGTTTTTTACCCTTTATTTTGTTGTTGATAACTTTGAAAACACCTTTGTTTGTTACTTTTCAAAGACATTTGTAATTGAATAATTCCATTTGACTTCAAATATGAATTTAATACTTACCCTTGGACTGTTAAATTCATTTAAAAGATTTTTTAAGCTGAACAAGTCTTTAACATTCCTCAGATTAAGAAACGGTGGTCTCGTGTAAGGGCTATCCTTGTACCCTGAAATAAAGTTTTTTGAATTAAATGTTGTCCATAAAATATCAAGCAATATCTAAAAGTTGATTGGAAGTAAGTGTAAAATATTTTACTATATAATAATGTGTTAGTTTGTTCTTAGAAAATAGCTATTGGTAATTTTAAGATCATAACTGTAGTCAGCATTGTGATCCATCTATTGTTAATCTAAGTCTGAAGGAATTTTGTAGTTTCTATCGGTAAATTTTGATTTGTATTAGTCCCAGACATATCTTTTACTAAATCTTATAGCCAACCAAACATAATAGCTATTAACCTTACAAGTGTAGCAAGAGCGTTTTTACATCACGCAGGTGAAGGTTGTGCAACGAGCGGAAGCGAGTTGCATAATTTACCTAAGTGATGTAAACACGCTCTTGCGTAACGTGTAACGTACAAGATTTTACCTGACCCGACACTATACAGGAGGTTACGAACAATATTAATCAATATCCATTTCACTCATCTTCTAACAGTAACGTTCATTTACAAACAAAAGCTAGGTTAGGAAAATTCTTCAAAACATAACAATAAAATTCAAGAGCACAGCTGATTTCTAGCGTTAAACGTTGTTGGCTCCATAGAGGTATATTTTTTAAGTTAATCACTCAATGTTATTTAAATGGGTTTCATTACCTCACCGAGTGAGTTTTCTTCAACTTTACATCACTCGAGAAGTAAGGAAGTTGTATACATCACGCTTGGGATAGGGAAGTTTAACATGGCGGGCTAGGTAAAAATAAAATACTAGACCGTTTCCTTTTAAACTAAACATTACCTTACGGCTTAGAAAATTAATTTCCAGGCAAAGATTTAGAATTATATTTATATTTGGTGTATTTTTTTACAACAAATAATACTGAGTAATTTAGTGTATAGCTCACCTACTATTCCTCCAGAAACGAATAACAACCACAATAAAAACACAGTCTTTTCAAATGTGTGATAAACTGCAGATTGTAGAAACATGTTGCTCTTCTGTTACAATCCTCCAAACTAATATAAAAATAACACAAGAATAAATCACATTTTAAACTCATCAAATGCAAAAGAAAATATGAATTGCATTATTTTCATGGTCAAAGATACTTTTTCCAGACATTGAAACTATTAACCAAAATAATACATTTTAATTTTATTCTAGTTCCTAATGTGTTATTAGCAATTGTAATAAAAGTTACATTATTCATTTACCGACGTACGTTTTACAACAATGAGATTTTAATCAGTATTAAATGACATGAAACAAATTACTTACGTAAGAACCCCAACTCTATAATCATTGGATGATAGTGGTCAGTAAATGTGAACAAACTATTAACATAGACTAACCAATACAAGTAGACTAGCTCGTTTTTCGGGTCTAGTTCATGTACACTAATCGCTAGTGTCAACAAAATTTTGTTTTATTATTTCATAGTTAATTTAATGATTTGTTCTTCATTGTATGGGTTGTTAACCAGAGGACGAGTTATTGTTTATGGTTAGATCGTTTTATTTGGTTAAAAGAGGCTTAAATTACAGAAATAACAAGAAACAAATTATAAACAAAACACAACCTCCACAGTACACCGGACATAACTAAATAACAATAAAATTTTCTTCAGCTGATCAATATGGATGAGAACTATACTAAGGGTGTATGTTTTATTATACTTCGTTCACAATATTTAGGCAGTTTGAGGGGAAGTTCCCCCCTCCCCACTTCTTTGTATTTGATGTACCTTGTAAGATCAGCTGTTGAGCTATTATTTAAAAGGTAAGGGTCAAGTGGAGGGGATAGATTTTTTCTCCTAAAACCACCTTAATATTGTGAACAAAGTATAATTAGTCTTAGATAAAATCTCTTCTGCTTTGTTTTTGGGGGAAACAATGAAACAACATAAATTTTACTCATGAATTAATTGTGGCATTGACCCCAAGGCATTGACTCTAACGTATCTGAAAGACAACATAGTTGAAAAGCCTCTCACATTGTGTCACTTTTAAAAGTTTTGTTTTCTCTTTAAGTTTTTCATACAACATACACCAGATGATAAAAGATAATAACTACGGTTTACTGTAAGTTGCCCTGTTATTAGTTTGGCAATATTCAACAATTAATTATTGGTGTGTAAGAAAGAAAACATATTTTATCAGCACACTATATTGGTGCTAAGTTCCTGCTTATTCTAAAACTGTAAATCTTATTCAAACAAATCTATAAAATAAATAAATATAGATTTGGGGCTTGTATAGAATGGTAGCACTCCCTACCTGTGTTTCATCCATTTCCAACTCTGTAACCGTTTGCTTTAGCAAGACACATTCTTGTTTAAAATTTATTGTAGAATATTTTCATAGGTATAGCTGCAAAATGCCTACAATCTACAATAAATTTCAAACAAGAATTGGTATTGTTAAAGTAAACGGTTACCGAGTTAAACTAATTTCAGCTTATATATTTCATACAAAATGTCTTTTTTTAAATATAACATCATTACCATATAAACAATTTTTTTTAAAAAAAGATAATATTTTTATTTTGTAAATTATGATTTTAGTAGCCCCTGAAGACTAGGGAAAACCTCACACACTCTTCGGGCACTACTTCTTAATGGAAGAATCTTGCAAAGACCTACACTGAGTATTTTCTCATGAGTACCGAAGGATTAAGAAAATGTGCAAGTGCCTAGGACTGACTCTGACCTCAAGCTAGGGCACTGACTCTTGGTATTGGAGATCAGACTGATTGGTTTATCAAACTAGCTATAGGTGCCGGTAAATCCAAATTCCTGGCAAAGTAGTTCTAACCTCAACTTCAAGGCTAAAGTACAATTCAATTTAGATGGTTGTGAGTGACATTTCAGCCCTACTAGAGCTTAAAAAACTACATAAAAACTGCTGTTTTATTAATTTTGAATATCCAATATAAATCAAAAGGCTGCCGGTTCGATCCAGAGAAAAGTCAGTAGCTTTTTGGTGGTTCGAAACTTAACCCGGCTGTCCCTGATCATTGGGCTTTCAATAAATGATCCTGACTGATGAAACAGCTGATCTTAGTAACAAAGCTACAAAGATCATCTCACAATAATACTGTACATTCATCCTTCACTCATATTTGGGTTAAAATACACACCTAGGTGTCGTCGTCTCCATCTATATATAATAATATTTTTATTGTTGGATTATATTCAAGCTAAGTGGTGAATGTTGTTTTGGAAAAGTTTGGGTAGAAGCTTTATAGAAGCATGTAAATTAAATAAAAACACAACACATTTGTTACTCCACAAAAAACATCGGTAGGTTAGGTACATTAAACAAACAAGAATTATTTCAGTCAACGACTCAACCACACTGAAAATTTGTGTCGAAGCGTTTGTTGATGTGGCTAACAATTGATCTGATTGCTTCATTGTTGTCCACAGAGGTGTTGATTTCAATCAACGAGGGATTCCTGAATCGTAACATACAGTCGAGGAGCCTGAAAAAACAACACAGGTTTAAACAAACTCATACTCAACTTTTCACAGTAAAAAGTGAAAAATATTCATACAAACCTTTATAAAACACTAACATAATGGCACTATTAACTACAACATTAAACTAACTGTGTTCTTTTTAAATGAGGATTTGGCTATAGCTGGTTCATAAAATAATATGATCGGATTGTTTAAACAAATGTAAACAAAGTGTAGTTTGTCGTTTTGTTTTGTATTGAACACAAGCTCATTTTTCTTCTGTTATAACATTTTGTCATTTCTGAATTTAATTGACTACCGAAATTGTCCGTGATATCACAATTAATTGTGAATCGCGTACAGTGACAACTACAAGTATCCAACAGTCAATTCTAAAAGCCAATGACATGAAACATGGATCTAAAAACTTATTTTGTCAACTATACCTTCCTGCATGGATGATGAAAATCATTGAAACATGTTCATAAGTTGGGAAAACTAACGATTCATATAAGTCAAACTATTGCAAATTACCAACTTACTTGTCCTTAAACGAGTACGTCTTCAGCGGTTTGTAAGGATGGAGAGGGATTGGAGGAAAGCTGCTCGAAGGGTTTATGACAAACACCATGTCCGGTTTAACCAAGTCGTCTGGCCACTCGTATATCGCAGAGCCTGCCGAGGGTAGCGTGTTGTACATCTTGGATATCCCAAAGGATGTCTGATCCACCCAGTATCTGCAACACGGGAACTGTTAAACACAGATAATAGTTTTAATGCAAGTACCAGTTCACAAATAATTGAAATTAAAATATTTTAAGAACCGAGCACGACAGTAATTGTAATTGTAATTGTAATGGCAGTTATTGTAATTGTATAGGTGTGACGGGTTAGAAATATATTTGTTTGGTAATTTTATAAGATCTTTAATTTTATAGTGTTTAATTATTTCACCTTTCAAAGTGAACTGTTTAATTTATTTTTTTAGAGGTTAAGGACTTGCCATTCCTAACTTTGCTTCTTTAAAAAATCTTTATAAATTTAATTAGAGTTTGACTTTTTTATACTGTTCATAAATCAGTAATAAATCATTTGTTATGTTGACAAGGATGTAAATATGGCTTCTTAACTTCTTAAATTTCACTCTGCAACTTTATTTTGGTGCTGAATCGGTATCATCTTCAGACTAGACATTAACTGGACGTCTTATTATTTTATTGACCTTCTGCTGAAGATTATCGCTTTTATAAAATATAATGTAACAATATTGCACACACAATTTGCGACCAAATCAAATGGAATTTAAGGGGTTGCCAAGCAGATATTTACACCATTGACAGTATTTGTTGGTAATCTGTAAACTGAGCTATCGTTGTTCAGTTTTTAACATCCAAAACACAACTCTATCAACGATTTTCAAACTAAAGCATTCTTTTTACCCAGCCACGATGACAGCCGAGCTGTACAGATACTCTCTCGTCTTGCAGGCTGCTCCGTAGACTCCAAGCGAGTAGAACGCTCGTCTCAACTCCTCCGTGTCGTTGAAGAAGTAGTTGGACATTGTCATGAACTGCGGAGGATTACCTACAAGCCGGGCCTTGATAACATTGGCGACTCTCTGAGCAACAACATTCCTCGCTAAAAAAAGAAAAAAAGGTGATTGGTTAAGTTTAATTGTAAGAAATTCCATCAGGGCTCTGCCCCAGTGGCTTTTAATGTTCCCATGTCATTCTTTAGATGGAGAAAATATTTGTTTACATTTGAACACATGAATACTTTTGAATCTGCACTATTAATTAAGGGAACAGCTGGCTATATTTTATTACGTGAAATGAAAATATTTGCATTATTTTTGTGGCAAGTGTTTTACTGCATAACACATTTTTAATATTTAAATTAATTAAAAAAAAGAAGTATAGGCCTACTCAGGTTGAACATTTAACTTTTTAGATTAATTTAAATTTTTGTGAGCGAAGCCACGACGCAGTTTTGGTCCAAACTGTCCAAAACCATTCTGGAATATTATAAAACTACGCTAGCAATTTATACACATTATAATCATATGGTATTAGTTACTAAACAGAAGTAGTTTTTGATATCTGTGATTTGACTAAATTCTTTTAAAATTTAATAAAAACTAATATATAATCCAAATTACTTGCAGAAACATTAGTCTTATTGTTAGCAAGCCAGATATAGCTATCTAAATCAAGTTAACACATTTTTGTAGCGCTTGTCAATTCCAGTGTAGTAAGAAGATCAAAGACAACACTGATATACTTGTGAGTTGGGTTCTCAAAAAAACCAACATGCACTATATTGGCATTTATAGAAAATATTTGGACACTAAATGGATCATGGAGTTTGCTCCCAGTTTGTTTTCTTTCGGTACCGTAGCTCAAAAGTGATGATGTGCTTAGTGTACTTAAGCTATCTTAACTTGTAAATAGTTTTAACAATAATATGAGAAAAATATTCAAAAAACAGTACCAACTCACTTCGTCTGTATGCTGCCTCCACGGTGATGAAAGGGTAGTGTTTTTTGAAAAAGGTTTTAACACTTCCACATCTGAAGTCGTACTCGTCAACGAGCATTTTGATTTCTTCACTTCTATTGTACTGAAAACAATTGTTAATTTATAAAATGGTCTAAAAATGAAAAATAATCAGATTAATTTTTTACTTAAAATTAGAGAGGAGTTTATACCATTGCTGGTGAAAATAAATATAAATTGGCTAATTTACGATTGTAATGGACATTTATTAATCAATTCATTAATAAATAATAAATAATCTTACTAATATTATAAATGTGAAAGTTTGTGTGTTTGTTTGTTTGTTTGTTTGAATTTCAATCACGCATTAACTACTGGACGGATTTGGCTGAAATTTGGTATAATGATAGCTCACATTCCCGAGTAACATATACCGTAGGCATATTCTTATCTCAAAAATCCGTCCAGGCTCCGCCCCAGTGGCTCTTTAGTTCCCTATGTTAACCTTATGAGTATTCATATTTAAAGGGAATTAAAGAATTTAGTCAGCTGTTTCAACTAAAAAGTTGGTTCTATGATATGAAAAAGCATTAAAAGTTATAAGATTTACCAACAGGGTGCAGCACTATTATTTTTTCATTTATGAAAACAGCTAATTTGGACTAATACCAAAAATCTGTGATACACAATGAGAACTGTCAAAGTAGGATTGTTTACAGTTATGTTTATGGTTTTAATTTCGTGAATAATTTGTGATATTTTGCAAAACTTTAATAATTAATTTATTTTTCTGTATTGTTTACGTGAAGTGGTAGAACATTATGGCTATGGTAGATGTATAGTACTATAGTATATCGTAAATTTAAAGAAGCAACTTTTTTTTTCAAACTATGTCCTCCCCCATTGCAAACGCAAATCTTGAGTATAATGCTAATCCCGTACGAAGGACGGGTTCTCTGCTAGTTTATTAATAAATTAAAGTTATCTCTTGAGAGACAACATTGCCAAAACCCAACATCTTAAGGTTCATCATAGCCAAAACCGCTGAGCTTTCAAATTATCCGGTTGAGTTTGTTGAATAGAGCTTGGCTTGGTTGTGGTTCCTTATACCCAAAGTCTAAATGGGAACAGTATATTATATTTTTCACTAATGCAGGCAAATAAGGTAGAATTAACTCATAGTTGCTGTGCCTAAAATATACTTCTTGAGGCAAACATAGTTTTTTTAATTTAACATTTGATCCACAAGGAATATAAGGATTATTTCCATAAGGAAATGTGTATTATCATTGATGTAGTAAATCAAATTAATGGTGTCCATTAAGAGAACACAATGCTGCAACCTGATACAAAAAGGTTTATCCTGGATAAAAAGGTGGCAGTTTATAATCATGCTAGGAATAGCGTCTTAGAACCGTCTCCTCTATAAATAGATTATTTATAGAAACACCATTTTTAACTTTGATACTCACATATTTCATTAATATTTCTTTGGTTTGTTTGTATGAGTAATAAACTGCATAGTCCTTCAGTTCTTCAATCTCTAAAACCAAACATAATATTGTTTATTTATACTTGTAGTTTACACAATAAGCGTGTAGTTTACACAATAATACGCTAGAATAAAAAAATGTATTGATTGCTCACAATTATCTAGGTAATTAATATATTTTATTTTGATAAAAAAAATATTGAGTTCAGATTCTGGAATCTATTAATTATTATTCAGAATATAAAATGGTAAAACATAAAGTTTAAAGGTATCTGTCCAAGTGTATTCTTGAATTTAAATTTCAGATTCTAAGATATTTCAATAATTTGTTGAATTATACTTAAACATAGGAGATCAAAAAAATTTAGGATCTATTATTAGGATCTATTAGGCTAAACCAAAACCACATATAAATAGCCTCAAATATAATCCTCCAATATTCTGCTTGGACATTTTACTGTGTGCTGTGTGTATGTCCCAAAAATATTGTGTCTTAAGTAAGTATTCCATAGTTAAATTTAACATTGATCAAATCTAAACATTAGTTATTGCTAATTTAAAGCATTTTTAGTTGTAGTTACTGTATAATGATACTTATCTTTGAATACCTTACTAAAAGTCTGTAAATAGGGTATTTATCAACATTTTTAATACTTACCATTCTGAGATAATTTACTATAAATTGCTACATTGTGCTTACAGTAAAAAATCACCATGCACAAAGTAAAAAGTGTATTTTTCATCTGCAGATATGACTCCATAGTTCAATAGGCCTTAAGGTGTTCATGTCTTTAATTAACCCCGAATTCGTTAATCTACAATTAAATATAAACTATTTCACTTCACATGGAACAAAAAAACAATAGTGTAACATTTTTCAACAGCTCTGGCACATAATACAATGTAAATCTAATTAGTATGATAAGAAGTACTATCTTTAAAATCTAAAATGATTATTTCCGTTGATACACAAAAACTTTAGTTATTTGTTTGGTTTTTACCGATACTGCTGGCTGAAGAATCAACCATTGTTCTTTAAAACTATACTAGGGGCTCATAGCAGCAATTGCTACCCTTCACCTCCATTGTAAGCTGTGCACCTTTCCTAAATACTCTCCTTCGTATTTGCCGTCTTCCCCTAACACTATAAATTTTAACTCTGCATTACCATTCTAACCTAAAAACAGAAGACTAAATTCAATAAAGAAACAAATATGCAATGTTTACATCAGCTGGTATATTTAAAACAGCTTATAGCACAAATACTAGAAAAATACCGGTATGGATCATAAACATAAACAAATGACGTTGTTGGCCCGAATCCTATACTAATAGCATTGAACATATGTTTTGGCAGTTCCATTTAAACAATGTTAAATAATGTTTATTTTCGGGCCAAAAACGTCATTTTGTTTATGTTTATGATCCATACCGGTATTTTTATAGTATTCATGGCTTATAGAAACACTGTAGCAGTACTTCCATTAGAAAATTACTGGATCTTTAACGGCCTGTGGGGCAGAGCAGGGGTAATTTTTGACACTTCTGATATTTTTCACACCGTCCTTCCTTGGAGCTTAAGCTTTAAAATGAATCATCAACAGCCTTGCTACATTTTTCCTAGCTCGAGATATTTCGTGGGGACCGATTCGCTTACGGAATTAAAAATATAAGTTTTGTAACTTTTACAATACCTTCCTGCAGATTAACCAATTGAGTTTTAAGAACAACAATAATAAAAACAGTTGTTTTTTAAAATTCAAATTAAATTAAACATACCCTTCTCATAGATTTGCCATTCTCATTAACAGATGAAAAACAATTTTAAGGCATTTTTCTGTCCAGTAAAGGCAGAAGGAGTTGATCTTAATTAACCACGTTTAGGACAAAACGATTGTGAATTTTGATAATATCAGCTGTTTTTAATAAAATGTATAAACTTTAAACTCCTGTGTAAAGGGTGGTCAGTCATGCTTTTAGACTCTTACAACAGTTTATAGCCTTACAAGGTTTATAACTTATAACCTTGATGCCTTGGACCTTATAACTATAGAGCAAGGTATTAAAAATACAAAGGTTGAAATTAACATTTTATTATAATTCGTACCGTTAATTCTTGGATGAAAGTTAAATATTGTAATTTTAGTAGTTCCCTTGAAACTGTTGGTTGATTATCTCAATCATCTTGTTAGCCATTGCTTCATATTGGTAGGTATTGCTTATTTCAAAGACTGGGGGTTTTCTCCAGTTACGATATACTTGTACAAATCTGAAAATATGTATTTACATGATCAATTTTGATTTGCTTGCATCATACACTCATGCAGTTTAAAATTTCTTTGAATATAAAATGTCACTATTTTTTTAACAGATCTCCACAGTCCACCTACTTACTATTGAACCAATTTTAACAAATTTTCACATGCAAAAAATTTCCAAGTCAAATTTTCTACCAATTTCATTTTTCTATGTGCAAAAGATCCTTAGAGGTAGACACATATTTCCATCAAAGTCCATTAAATATAACTTGGTTTGGCTGTGTTTCAAGCACAAAAGTTCCGTCCCGGACTCAGAAAGTTTATGAACGTAACAACAAAAGTTTTGATTTTGTGACTCAGAACGATCTTCCATTTGACAACTTGTCTACAAATTTCTCTTGAGGTAAACCTTAAAGGATTAAGACTGAGTTTTCCTGAAAGAATATCTGACATTAACATAATTTTGGCCCTTATGAATAATAATATGAGTAATTTTACAATATAATTGACTTTCCTTTAATCCATATTTATAATAGTATTTTTAAAATATTTTTATGGGTTTATTTAACAGTTTTTAAAGTAATAATTAACTGTATATGTATAACCAGTGAGACAAAGTAATAAAAGCTTGGAGTGAAGAATATAAAATATTGGGTGCTGCAAAGATACTTTGCACACAAATAACATTATAATTAGTACTAATAAATTATATTTAGTAAATTTTCTGGAAGGTACTGTACTTTAATTTTCTTTCTGATGGACCAAGAAGAAACCAATTTATACTTGCGTTAAAAATTCTGTATTGGATTTTCCTAGTAAAAAACATTCTTTGCTATTTCGGTCAAAATCTTCTTTTCTATTTGTACTACTTTGTCGGGTTGAAAATATAGAGTAGAGTATAACAAAATATTTCTGTAAAGTAAACACTAGATCAGCTTAAAATAAAAGGATAAATACAATGTAACCTCTATTACAAGTCACCCTTGATAACAAGTGTCATCTTCAAATACCCTTGATTTAATATCACTCCTAATCACATGTTGTTGCAAACCTCTATAATACGCCAACCTTGATCTTATTTGATATTCCCCATGGGAGACTTAATATTAAGATTATACCAAAGTTTCTTAAGGTAACTGGAAAATATAGTTGTTGCTTACTTTTCTAGAAATTCAGGATTAGCTACGTCTCTTCTCCTCTCCTTCTTCCTCTTAGAGTTCATGAAGAAGACTATGTCCGGAGGGTAGAGATCCTGCGGCCAGGAGTAGACTAATGACTCAGATGGAGGCACTTGGTCGTACACCTTCGCAATGGCAAAAGCAGCCTGAGACATCCAGTGTCTGCAAAAAGCTACAAATAATTCAGGTGAAGTTCAGTGAAGAGGGTTTGTGCCCTACTAAAGTCCCATTGACTCTCTACCTGGGTTATCTTCAATAAGTACAGTTTGCCTTGATTAAAAAATGTGTGCTTTGACAGAAAAATACATCAACACACTCTGTCGCTAGTTAAACTCAGCTGCGTTCATTTTTATTTAACAACTGGCTAAATAGTCAAAAGTACTATTTAGTTAAGTTAGTGTAATTAAGGGAGGAATATTGTGTATATGTATTTTGCAAACCCAACTAACTTAGTTTCGAATCATAAATACCTTTCCCTAAAAATAACTCAAGTCATGTTACTTGAGTTATTTTTATTGTGATAATATTATAATCTGTATTTCACAATTGATGAATAGTACTTTAGTGAATCACTTGGAGTATTGAGCGCAGCAGTTAGGTACTAAATAATTTCACCGTCTTACCTTTTCATGACTGTACAGAATGAGCAAACACACCAAAATAAACAATCCTGTATTTATAATAAATAAATAAATACTTTTAATTAAAATTCCACCATGTACCACCATGGTGGCCTCTAAGTGGTACACATACCACAGTTTGGGAAACACCGTTTTAGACCAATACTTTACGGAAAGTAAATTTAATAACACGTACAATGCTGATCAAGAAGTTATTTACTTTGACTATGGAATTCTACCTTCCAGTTTATACCTATCCTGCGTCTACACAAGGCAACACTAAATAAACAGGCCGTAATGCTCCTCTAGCATGACGTCATAGGCGACGGTAATGACGTAATGTTTTTTTTTTAGTTTTATTTTTATTTTCCAAGAAAATATTAAAACAAGCAGCTGATCACAAACGACAAACACTTCATTGCCGTCGCCTATGATGACGTCATACCAAATGAGCATACGGCCTGTTTATTTAGTGTTGCCTTGATCTACAGTACCTAGTTTGGGAAGCGAGCTGGTCTAGTGATAGAGTGCGGGACTTTGATGCATGAGGTCCTGGGTTCAAATCCCGGCAATCATTAATTGATTCTTTTGTGTAATAGGTGTAATGCCGTGACCCTCTAGACCTAGCATGAAGTAAATGTGTAAATGGTTCACATTTGATCAAGCTCAGTGTCCTCAAATATGAATGTGGGAAATAAGAAAAAATTGTCCTTAGTTTTTTACCCACCCAGTGACAACAGCTGGTAATGTCCTGGTAAGATGGCGGGCTGTGCATGCTGCGACGTATCCTGTCAGTCCGAAGAAAGCTTTCCGCAAGTTGGCGTCAGTTATGTTTGCCCCCAGCTGGACCATAAACTCTGGAGGATTATAAACCACATCTGCTCCCAGTCTCCGCGCAAGCAGCACTCCCACTATGTTCCTGGCTGTAGATGATAAGTTAGGTTTATCGAAATGAATGGACTTTTAACTATACATTTATCTATTTTTTAAGTATGTTTCATTTATAATGTATCAAAAGTAAAACTCAGGTATCTAAATCAATACAAACTTAAAAAAGATTTGATTTCAATATTTGATTGATGACTTTTTAAAATTAAACTTGAAAGAAGCAATATTTGTTCTTTCATTGTGGTTGTTTTTAACATAAATCAAGCCTTTACATCTATTTTAAATGCAAAGGTAACAACTCTTTATTTTTTCTTAAAGAAGTATGTAGTTTCCGTGAATCAAGACTTTATAAAGAAAAAAATTTATCAAGCTTGCATCATATTTTATAGTTTAAAAACCATACAGATATAATCTGACATTTTTATATTGAATCCTGAGTTAAATTTCAAGCAGTGTAAAATGTTGTTAACATTCAGTGAAAAGTTAAAACGAAGAAACCATGTAAGCTATCTTGAAACTCTATTTTGAATTTTAACAACAGGCATGCAAATGGTTTTTACAATTCGAGTTTCAAGATTAAAAATTGTTCAAACTTGTTGGTGTAGCATTGAGATCCAAAATGTCTGGGTTTTACCATAACTAATTCTTTATCATATTTTATGCAAAAGAGGGAGAATATTTCTCTTGGATATTTATGATTATTCTGGGATTATTACATTTGCTTTTGAAAGTATATTTTTTAGAGATTAGCATAACCCACGTCCTCACAAATGCAGCATATTTTTATAGCTTAACTGAGTGGATACAGTGCTTGCCTGGGGATTGGAAGGTCACCAGTTCGATCCTGAGATAGGTCAGGAACTTTTTTCAAAACTGGACATAGCACTCAGCTATTGTACTTGATCAATGGGTTTTATTATTAACACATGGCCATGACTGAACGACCAGCTGATCTTAGTTAGAGACTAAATTGCAAAGCCTCCACTAATGCAAGACCGCGGCGTTGGTGTGTAGCAATGTCACACCGGATAGCCTGTTGCCATGGTAATCAAATATAAACATTGCCCAGATGGTCCATTATAAAGTAATGCATCAGCTGTTACAGTAGACTGGGATTGCAGCATTGCCACTTTTGTCTCGCCACAGCCTTGTATAAGGAGGTTATGCAAACTGTCACATTTTTAACTTTAATTTTCCCAAAATCTTTTGGTTTTAAAATACATCCTTGTGAAGCAATGAGTAGAAATGAGATCTGCTCATATATTTAGCTATGCCTTATATAGGTACATGTGCCTTTAATGAAGTGATTGGGAGATTTTTCAAAAGTAATATTTTAATGAATTACGTAGTATTCTTACTTTTCCTGTGCACCCCCTCGACGGCAATAAAAGGGTGATTTTTCCCAGTGCTGTCAACTTGGCCAATGTCTCGATATCTTTCCTCGACTTCTCGTAGCAGTTCTTTGACAAACGGAAGATGGTACTGGAGCAAAACACTTGAATGATTTGATGGAATTTATACTCGCACAATTTCCTATACATACTAGACGCTTACCTTTTGCTTTGAGTTTGAAATTATAATAAAAAATCGTTACGAAAAAATGTCAAATTCTGGTACAGTATTGCCAATGATTATAACTTCATATATTTTCTATCAATGGAACTGTGTTACTAAAAAAATTTATACCACCCCATGGCTTAACAGATGTTTACCAACCACCTGAGCGACATATATATGTAGCGATATAGCTGTTAAAAAGCATTATGAAACAAACGTAAATATTGTAACCTTTTTTTCTGTTTCAATGGAAATCAATCAATAAAATCGATTTTAAACCCCTAACGCTTCACACTATACAGTATTTGCCCGGTTAAAAAACAATACTGTTTTATGCCATTTATTTATTTTTTTTTATCAGAATTTATTTTACAATCTGTTCAAACTTCAAATATGAGAACAATAAGTAAAACATATATCAAAACAATGTCAGGAAGCAAGCACCTGTTCATCAACAAGTCTTGCCAAAAATTGGATCAGTCATTTAAACATTTACAGAAATCTGTAGCTTAGGTCCAGCACATGCACAACACTTTTTAACCTCGTAATGCACTGACTATTGTCCAGCAGATTAACAGCAAGACTGTTCGGATGATATTCTAATTTTTCTTGATAATTTTTGCTAAGGTCTGTAATTTCTTCTTTCACTGATTTAATTTTGAAGTCATTCCTAATTGTAGTGTTGGATACGAACCAGGGTGTGTCAATAATTCTTCTCAGTGCCTTAGCCTGAAATCGTTCAAGAATTTCGATGTTGGATTTGCTCGAGGTCCCCCAAAGTTGAATTCCGTATGTCCAAATTGGTTTGATCATAACTTTATACAATAAAATTTTGTTAGCCAATGATAATTTTGAATTCGTACCTAGTAGCCAATTGAGTTTACGAAGTTTTAATTCCATTTGCTGTCTCTTGCACCAGATATGAGATTTCCAATTTAATTTTTTGTCAAGAGTTAGACCTAAATATTTTACACTGTCTGCCTCCGTTAAGGCTACATTATTAATGGTTACTGGAGGATTGTACCCTGTTCTCAGAGTAAAAACAATATGTTTGGACTTGTTTTCGTTGACTTTTATCCTCCACTTTTTAAGCCAATACTGGAGTTCAGTCAAGGCAGCTTGTAGATTTATGTAAGCGACTTGAGGGTCCACATGACTCGACAACAGTGCGGTGTCATCAGCAAACGTAGCAACTGTGACGTTGGGGACTCATGCCATTTATGAGATGAATGTGATTATAAACACAAACAATGTCCACTTGACAAGTTTGTAAACAATAAACCGTGTAACAGCTGATCTATTTGCACTGACTGGTGAGCTCCGTTTGATTGCAGTGTGAAAGTTTGCATTTAACTGCATATGCCACTGACGCTTGATCACGGCGACATCCGTCCGGTTCAGTGGCAGAGGACGGTTGCAAAACAAAAAATAACCTGTACTATATCCCCCTTTACAGTATCACAAAATTAAAATCATTTAAAGCTTAAGTATATTTACGATTTACTTACATAATCTTTGAAGCCAAGTAATGTTGAATTCAAGGTATAATAAACTCCATAGTTTTGTATTGCCTTTAAACGATCTGAAAGTATAAAGGCTTTAGACTAAATCACACAAAGCATCTTATTTTTTAAATAAAATATTCCATTGAGTCATTGCATTCAAATTTGTGGTGGCATGGTTATACAATTTTCCTACAGTTACCGGTACCTAACAATGTACATGTTCTCTCACTGATTTGAGAAAGCAAAGTGGCCAATTCGCTGATCAGTGAGACAATTTTAACATCGTCTCACTCTAATTACTTTGTCTCACTCCAGATTTGCAACGTGAAGGATCGTTTCTTTACCAATTATTTATTTGTTTTGTGGTGCTGTATGAAAAATATATTTTGCAACTCGAGTGCAAAGTGCAATCGCCTCACACGAGAGAAATCCTTACTCATGGGCCGTAGGCGAGTGAGGAATGGTTTCTTGAGTGAGGCAATTGCTCACTTTGCTCACTAGTTGTACAAATAACTATTGTTTGAATGTCAGCTGTTTTGACAATATTACTAGTAATAAAAGAATACATACATTAGTGCTCCAGTTGGTTATTGATAAATTGGAACTTTGTTTGGTTGGTACAAGCAATATTGTTTGGGACAGAAAAGGAACATTTTATGGACAGGTCTTTTGGTAGATCATTGGGTAAAATCATTGATCATCAGCTGTACAACAGCTATTTTCCTATAAAACATATTTCATCATACTGCTTTAAAAACAACTGTTTTTGACACATGCATTGAGATGTGTTGAGATTCAAAAGTTCTTCTTTTTAGTCTTTGGATAACAACATATTTTTTGATGATCATTATCGTACTAGTATGATGATACTTTTGATTTGAGGTCGTCATAAATCGATTAAAATGAATTTGAATATATAAATAATCGAAACATTAATTGTTGTATTGTTAATATTTTTACAATTATTGTTTCGATTCAACAACCGATAGTTATAAATGAACCCAAGTCATGCATGTGCAACAGCTGATTGTTTCAAGAGACAAGCTGAAAGAAAGATATGAGGTTATGAAGACACGGTACGTAGATTTCACCATTGTTTTCATTTTCTTCACTTGGATCAAAAGTGTTTTTTTTCTCACTCATTTCTCAGCCTCCGCTTCGCCTTGGCAGTTAAACTAGAGCTTGTATTAAAAAGATCCACTTTTGATCCTAGTAACAAAATATAGTTATATTTGATCCTACTAAATATAACTATCTTCAAACAGAAACATTTAGCGGATTGATAAATGTAAAAATAAAACAATTATATTACACCCTCACCTTCAAGATCTGTATCATTGAATGCACTTGTGAACAATACACTTTCAAAAAAACATGTTATCAATAAAATAAAGTGCATTCTACACAATCATAAACAAACATGATTCAGACTAACACAACATTACTATGTATAGTTGAGAATATTAATTTTTGACACAAACTAACTTGACTTGTTTCACTCACAGTACTGTATCAGATTGAACTATCAAGATGCTAGAATTAAGGTCAACATTGTATGAATCCATTAAAACTTACACACATTTTTATAAATTTACATACCGTAAAAAAAGTTAAAATCTTGTACACTTTAGATGATACAGTGCACAGCAGATTGCATGAATAAAATTCATTAAACTAAAAGTTTTTGTGTGTTGTTCCATAATAGGAAAGCAAAATGAAATGAAAATGTAAAATAAGAGTTTTTTTTTTATATGAGATTAAATTTACGAATAGAAGACAAACCTTTTTTCTTAGAGGAAACCACAGAAGAATTATGGGAATAACCAAACGATATACTCTCTTGTGTCAAATTAAGAATATTTTGGGAGTTAAACTGTGGTGTTGCTTAAATTACGTTTTGTCAACATAGGTAAGTTTTGAATTTTTATTCAAAGTGTAATGTTTTACATGGAAAACAATTGAATTAAACTTTATCCATAAGGCAGTCTATCATTTATAAAATCTGCTATCAACTCAGTAACTTTTAATGATGAAAAACTGTTGTAGCTTAAGTTTTGTTTGTTAATTGGATTTAAGTGCACCATGACAGTAAAAATAAAGTGTTAGTTGTTAGTTAAAAATGAACTGTGTCTTCGTAAATGTCTTTTTGTTGATGATTTTTTCTAAGTGCTTACATAAAGCATTGCACATCCATGCGGAACTTTCAAATGAAGAAGATGAACGTAAATATTATATTTAAGTATTTATGTTTCTAAATAAAATGAATTGGTTATACCAATAATAATACAAGGCATGTCAAAACTAAATTAAATCTTAAACTAAAAAAATTACACATATTTATTTTAATCACGGATAAATGTAGTAAATAAACCATATAAAGTAATTTTATGTACAGTGTACATTATTGATTTTTAATAGTTTTCTAGGATATTTTTTATGTTCTCTCCATCACCTCTTCCAGTATTTCAATTATCAAAATAATTTATTTTACATGTCGGCCTTAGTCACTAACAAGACTACAAGATCATACTCGTCCTACACTTATATCCATTCATACTTTGGCTTAAAATACCTACATTCTTATGGTTTCCATTTCATAAGAAAGAATTAAAGTATTTAATAATGTGTCAGTTTAAACATTAAAAAAAACATATTATGTTTACTTTGAATAAACAATATATAAGTTACAATAATTATCTTTTCCTACAATAACTTAACAATGTACATGTTCTCTCACTGATTTGAGAAAGCAAAGTGGCCAATTCGCTCATCAGTGAGACAATGTTAACATTGTCTCACTCACTCCAGATTTGCAACGTGAAGGCACGAAATAGTGAGCGCGTAACATGCAGACAAGGTCGTATGCGCGCGAAATACGTTAGCAGCACTGGCTGTAAATCAGCTGGTCAGCTGTTGTACTGTTGTAACATTAAATGTCATATGAAAAGTTCACTTCTGTGTTAAAATATGTTACGTTTCTTTCCCAATTTATTTGTTTTATGGTAACTGTAGGAAAAATATAATGTGCAGCTCGAGTGCAAAGAGCAATTGCCTCACTCGAGAAACCATTCCTAAAGTAAGTATTTCTCTCAAGTGAGTCAATTGCTCACTTTGCTCACTAGTTGCACAAATAACTATTTTATCAATCATTTTAGCCTCAGGATTGCTTATACAGTTGAACCTCGTTTGTACGAACCTCGTTAAAACGAATTCCTCGATAAGACGAATTTTTTTTAATCCCCTTGACACTTTCATATAGGTCAATGCTAAAAACACCTCTATACAACGTAGTAATTAAGTTAAAAACCTCCATAAGACGGATTTGTTTGTGACATGGGCTAGGACTGATTAACCTCTATACAACGAATATTCTTAGCACAAAACCTCTACAAGACGAACGTGACCTCTATAAGACGAATTTATCATAATCTTAACCTCCATAGTACGTAGTTTTCAAAACAAACAGAAGCTTGTCTCAACATGAAACCCCCACCCATCCCTCCTCCTTCCTCAATCATTGTTTGGAAAAACCTTGGAGCAAGGAGAAACCTCTATAAGAAGAATAACAGCAGCATTAAACCTCGATAAAACGACCCTCTTTATTAAGAATACCTCTATTGTACGAATATTTCCCGTACCCCTTGAAATTCGTCTTATAGAGGTTCAACTGTATACAGGGTTAGTAAAAAGTGTGGAGACCCCCTGTTATTTTTTAACGGTCCATACTAGAAACACTAAAGTCGGCACACCTTTAGGACATGTTATGAAGTACGTTTTGGGCATAACCGTCACTTGGTGTACATCCCCAAAATGGGGGATTTTGGGGGAAACTCAAAAAGTTCAAATACAAAGACCCATCGAGTGACCCCTCATTTTGAAGGTCCTGGTAAAAGAAAACCAACAACGCAAACTAGAGGTATTTATCCCAATCCAGTAAAAAATGGCAGCCAATTGAAATTCTCAGAAGTTAAATTTAACTTACAGCTTTCCAAGTCTGGAGACCCCCTGTAAATTTTGTAGCGGCTTACACTAGGAAAACTAAACTCTACACACCTTTTTGGCATGTTATGAAGTACTTTTTAAGCCTAATAGCCACTTGCTTACCAAACCCAAAATGGGGGATTTTGGGGGAAACTCAAAAGTTTTAAAAGATAAGCCCCATCGAGTGACCCTGCATTTTGAAGGTCCTGATAAAAGAAAACTAACAATGCAAACTAGAGGTTTCTATCTCAATCCAGTAAAAAATGGAAGCTGACTGAAATCTTTAGAAATCGGAAATAACTTGCAATTTTATATTCAAGTGACTGCCATATTTTACTGTGTTAAGATAGAGACCTATAGTTTGCGTTGTTAGTTTTCTTTTATTATGACCTTCAAAATGAGGGGTCACTCGATAGGGCTTATCATTTAACATTTTTGAGTTTCCCCCAAAATCCCCCATTTTGGGTTAGAGAACTTATGAGAATTTCAATTGGCTGCCATTTTTTACTGAACTGAGATAGAAAACTCTAATTTGCGTTGATGGTTTTCTTTTACTAGGACCTTCAAAATGAGGGGTCACTCGATGGGTGTTTGTGTTTGAAATTTTTGAGTTTCCCCCAAAATCCCCCATTTTGGGGATGAACACCAAGTGGCGGTTATGCCCAAAAAGTACTTCTTAACATGCCATAATGGTGTGCCGAGTTTAGTTTTTCTAGTATGGGCCGTTAAAAAATTACAGGGGGTCTCCACACTTTTTACTAACCCTGTATATAGTCAATTGATAATGTAAAATTTTACCTTAGCAATCCTTATTGTGGCTATCCGATATTAATTTCGGGCCCGAAGGACCATCTTCAGCCGGAGTCTAGGGAGACCAAATACTTATAATTTTAGGATCCACCTGATGGGTTTCGTAGAAAGTATGTTGAGATTTAACTCAATAAAAATTACAGTCGACATGACCGTATAAATAACATGACCATCGGGTGGATCCTAAAATTATAAGTATTTGGTCTTCCTGGACTCCCACTGAAGATGGACCTTCGGGTTCGAAATTAATATCAGATAACCACAATAAGCATTGCTAAGGTAAGATTTTACATTATCAATTGATTATCTTTTATATGTTTTAAATATGCACCTGTTGCTCGAATTCGAGCAATTGCAAAGTATTGCAGGTGTTATTTCAAAACGAATAACAGTCATAATTTCTGATTACTTAAAAGACTCAACTCAAAGATAGTGAAATCAATCACTCAACTCCAGTTATCGAAACTGAAAACGAACTCACTCTGAAAACGAACTCTCGTGAGTGTATCATCTGTTTACTATGAACAGCTGTAATTAATACAAATTATTCGTCTGTATAAGTAAAAAAAAATATTTCTTCATAAGAAATACATTGGGGTATCGATGGCCTGTGGGGCAAAGCCCAAGGACTTTTATTACTGGAATTGGTGAAAGGGGGCGTCTAAACAAAAAATACTTAATTTTGACACATCATTTGTAAAAATCCGTCCATTATTAACAGAGGAGAGGAGTAGTGTTTCATAGATATCGCCTTCATGTATTATATAAGGATAATGTCGTCACAGTTTTTGGCTGTTAAGACTAAGAGAGCTACATTTTAAAAATTGATTATTATTATACAGTTCATGTAAAACTTGATCCATAAAATAACTAACGATAACTTAAGGCCAGTTTAATTTACATACTTTATATAACATCCTAGTAAAGATGTTAATTTTCAACGATGCAAGCAAATTAAATTTTTGATTGAAGGGCAGGAGTACAAACATTTTAAAATTAAATCAACCTGTTTGATAGTGGTAGTTTATCCATCTGCAATCAGTCCAAAAGATTCTTTTCTCTCCTCAGGAAAACTCAATTCATAACATTTAAATAGTTTCATCAAATTAACGGGAGCCATTTTTCAGGTAATTTAATTAGAGTAAGAAGACAAGGAGGTTACATGTCACTCCCTGAAGCCTTGTCAGAATTTATGGATCCAAAGGTTAGTATAAATCAACTGTAGGCCTATCTAACACCTTTATAGATTATTTGAAGACCATTAAGGTATGTTCCAGTAATGTCTACATTTCGGGGAGCGGTCTTGTGGTGGGGTGTCGACTAATGGATTTGATCAAAGTGATAAAAAGCAACCTCAGGACCTGTCCTGATCCTGAAGTAATCTAAAAACAATCCTGTGCCAGAGCTTAGTAACCGTACGTAAAAAAGGAAGGTTTTCATATAGAGGGTGTCTTGTTGTATGTCTAAATTTAAAACTTTGGTAACTAAATATAACAGTATACTTGAAAACTCTTGTTTGTCCTCTCATATAGTAGTCTACCTATCAAAAAGGAAAATTACAAAGTTTACTCTAAAATAAGAAAGAAACATTTAAACATCATCAATGCATTCAAGATAAAAATATAAAAATCTATATTTTTTTCCAAATTTGCTTATGCAGTGACTTTAAGTCCCTTTCCACACTAAAACTGTGTTTGAGACATTACTCCATGTTATTATTTAAAACAATCAAAAATCTTATATTTTGTCAATTCAAAGTTTTTGAATGCACAACAAACATATTTTGAGTTTAAGCTTCAGTATCCAATAGTCAATGGTTTAAGTTAAAAATATTTTAAAACAAACACTATTTCCAGGTGGAGAATGATGAAAATGTACAGGGTTTTTTGGCTGTATACAGGACGAATTGTCCTATTTATTTTGGGAAGTTTAGTGAGCGTAAAGTCACCTCAAGACATATATTTGTGGTGGTTGAGGGTACACACAGGGCAAGTAAGTACATATTACGTTGTTTTAGAACTACATTAATTATAGTTACCTTATATTATTTTTATTTATAAACATAGCTTTTCAAAACAGATTTAAACACAATATTTCAAAAGTTATTAATAAGTGTTCCATCAAATATGTAAAATTTTCGTTCTTATAATGAAACCGTTTTGAAAATGTTTAGGAGGAGTTGCAGCTCAACAAATTGCAATCTACTTATGAACGCAGTGTGACTGTGGAATGAAGTGTTTGAAAGGGCGATGATAAAACACTGATCCAGTAAGGTTGATTAATAAAACATCCTTACTCTTACTCAAACTTTTGACCCAGCAGCCCTTAATGGTATTTTCCAAATAGCTGATTCAGCTTACCTCTACTTTATTCAACATAAACTGTTTCTAGCAAGAAACCTAGTGACGAGCAAACTGGCCGAGAGGTTGAAGGCTGCGAACCTCCATTCTCCTCCGGGGTTTCTCACCCGAAACAAGATCATGCTCAACGAGACCAACCAGTCGCTCAAGCGAGCATTCTTCATGCTCGGAATCTACGGGGTGGCGCACACAGTGCGAGATATGATACCCGACCTTTCCATCGTCACATCGGGGTATGTTCAGCTCAAACATCTCAATGGAGATTTTATGAAAAAAACTCTTTAATCTGAATTTAAAAACTCAACAGCCAATCTGTCTTCATAGATTCAGTGATTATATCATTTCATAACCAAAGAGTACACCCTAAGGACCAAAAACATCAGACTTATAGGCAACTCTTTGAGTATATAATAGTTTCCAATCACTAAGTCTACTTAGCGTGGTTTGACTTTAGCGCATGTGAAATACACTAACCATTAGCCAAAGATTGAACCATGTTTGAAAAGTCTGTGCTATGATAGAAATGCATGAGTATGCTAAAATGATTTAAGGTATGAAATATCTGCACAGACAATGAACAGTAAAGGGTGTATGAGACACACTATATTAACTCAACCGTCTTTCACCCTTTTCAGGTATTACATAGACCAGTTGGCCTTCAGCATAGCAGGAGCATTCCAGCAGCATCTGCCGAGTAGATCGTCTGCTATATTCAAGTGGCCGAAGGATCTTGTCAAACCTGATATCGTGTTCTTTATCAACACACCGTCACTTATAAAGAAGCGATACATAGAATTGGACACATTTAGGGGAAGGTAAGTAATAATAAGGTAATGTTGTTCCAGACAAGCATAATTGATTGACTGTAATCTTTGATTATTGATCAAACTTGACATCCCATCCTCGATCACCATGTTATGTTTTCTGCAGTTTTAAGTCAAAATAGGAGATAGTTGAAGTGCTACTGACAGATTGGGCCGATCTAAAAGTACTGATTTCAGTCAAATATTCAGACTTTAAGCCAAGTCAGACTGACAGGACGACTAATTGATAGGATTACAGCTTGATCGGAGGTGAGAACCCCAGGTCATCATCCACAGCAAAGACGAATCAGAGCTGAGACAGAACATTTTGTATGTACATAACGTCAAACAGCTCTGGTGGCCAATCACAATGAAATGCTCTTAGTAATTTACTCTTCTTGCCGCAGGATTGTCCAGATTTACCGCAACTGGGAGACTCCACCTCCCATCGTAGAGATTAACTCTACCAATGTCTACACCAACATGGTAGATCAGATGATGGACCACATACACTACCATCTGGGCTACCACGGCGAGCCAGCACCGGTCGATCCCGACAACGACATCAACACTTGTTTTCAATACCTACTAGACCAGACGCAGAATGGAGTGAAAAGCTAGCTGTAGAAACATGTGTTCAGCCTATCAGATGTTTGCATTGACTTTTATAATGAAATGGACTTTCCTGATTAGCTGTAGCCATTTTTATTCAATTTGAGTTTAATGGACCACTTACAGAATGTGCTATAGTCTAAAAATATTTTCTCTCATTTTCTTCCTTCGATAGTTTATGTTATATCAAATAGGAAAATTTAAGAGTTGTCCTTTTTCAGTTGAGTACAGTAAAAAATTAATTGTTTAAGACTAAACTTTTTCTCTTGAAGAACAAGTCTTTTAACAGTAGGCTACCTACAATCAAAAGTAAATGCTAACTGTTACTGAGGAAATAAAATAATATTCTTAAGTGATCAGTCAATAAAAAAATGAAGACTTTGACAAATACATTTAAGGCATGGGAGTCAAAGAGGGAGTATGCCATAAAAATAGCTTTTAATCAGCAAGAAAAAATATTTTTATAATTTTTGTACCATGTCCAGTTTTGTGGTTTTATATAAAAAATCATAAATGTGTTGTGAATTTATTATTTATCTTTTTTATTCCTACTTTTACCGTACTCCCACTTAAATTTAAATTTAGTATGTCTCCATGTAATAACTTAAGTGCAACTATAAAAATGTGGCTCAGGTACAAAAATAACCTAAAGTTCCAAAACTGCAACAACTCAAAATTTCTATTAAGTTATGGTCAGTAATCATAGTTTTTTTTCATAAGCCAATTTATTTATTTTGGAAAACTTGGAACTGTTGCCTTACAACAATTGTAATAGTGATGGGGGTGTTAATAATAAACACAAAGTATATTTTGAAAATGCACTGAAAAATGTAAATATGGTAACAATTGTGCAATATCATTGACTACTGTATACACAGAATATTATCTTAGGATATTCTAAGCCATACAACAATAATTAATTATATTAATCAAAATTGTTTTTGCTACAGTCTTTAGTATTTAAACCCATTTTTTCCATGACACACGTAATTTGCAAGGCTAAAATTTAAACTGCAATTGAATCGCACAATGTTGCAGGTAACAAAAGTGAACGTTTACAGAATTCACAAAAACATTTTGGCCGGGCAAATGCCAACACCGCCAGTTCCCGTGCATCCAATCCCTTGTAAGTGCTGCCAACCTATGTATAAAAAAATCCCACGCTTTAGAGAATGTAAGTTGCACCCTCGTTCTTTAAAAAATTCAATTTCACAAAAATATGTTGTTTGCAACATTGTTTGACGGAGATTTTCAATTGATGATTTTAATACTTGCTACTTATAAATAGCAAATGGTTATTTATTTTCATAAAAGAAAGCATTTACTACAATGTAAAGATACTTGATAAGATTAGTGTGGTGTTGTTGTTTCTGAGTGGAGTACTTGAATTATTTATTCGTTTTCCCAATAAAATTAAAATGTTTAGTAGGGACATTACGGCTTCATGAAATTCACACCATGTAGGTGTTGATAACAGAATGATAAGTGTCGAATTGTTTCTTAAAAGTTTTGTGGTTTCAATTATTTATTTTGTAAACTACTCATATTCATCGTCAGGTAAGCTTCGTTTAATAGAGATTATTATTCTTATAAATCAGCTGATGACAAAGCTATGGTTTGTTTTTGTACACAATACCTATTTTTGTCCACTTTAGACTATCTTTAAAACCGTCCTAACAAAAATAATGCATTTATAAACCAACTGTTGCTATTCTCTGGTAGTGAAAACTAAAATTAGTCGAGTCAATCCGTACGAGAACCCTAAAAAAAATTGCTTTAAATTGTTTTATTGGTTATTTTGACTTAGAATTATGTGTATTTTCCAGGAAAAAAAGTCTAATGAAATCGGAGTCTCGGAAGTCCAAAATTCAAGATGGCGTCCAATATTTTGGTCAAATGTGTCCGTTAGCACAATAACTCAAGCAAAAATGATCCGAATTCGATGAAATTTGGTACAAACATGTAAACATACATTTATTTGAACGAGTTCGCGAACCAGCATGATCGGACCATGGGAACAGGGGTTTATGGGGGGTTTTATGGGGTAAAAATTGGTTTTCCCCATTTTTGACCCTAAAATCGTAAAATTTAGCAATTTATTTTGAAACCATTTTAGGGCTAAGAAAAAAAAAACAATTTAATACAATGAAGCGTTGTCATGGGCCTAATACCTAGTTACGGAGAAAATTCAAAAAAAATTTAAATTTAAAATTCCTAGATTGTTGTTGATGTTCTAATCAATAAGTAGTTTGGTAGCCTCGAGCACCACCTCTATGTTTGTTGATGGTTATATGCGTATGTTATTTTTACGGAGAATAAGAAAAGTTGTTGTAGTTAGCCTGCATATGAATATATTTTTATCAACTTTGGAAAATGCATTTGTTTTATACTAAACTATTTAACATTTTACTAAAAACTCTTTTTTACCCTTCCCTGTCACAGCAAACCGAAGTACTAGTTAAAGTAGTGATATTTAAATAGGGAATAAATGTGATATTTTTAATGTGATATTTTAGTGTAAATTCAATCAGGCAAATTGAAATTCGCTTAGGGTGCAGGTTTGCTGCGGCGGGGGTATTTTAATTTATGACTATTTTTTGCTTGAAAAATGCAATAATAGGTCTTAAAATAAAGATCACAAGCTTGCTAAAATTCAACATACATATTTTATTTACTTAAATAAATATCTATAAATTTTTAGCCCGAAAGGATTTTTTGAGATAAGAATAGGCTTGTATTAATAGGGAATCTGAGCTATCATAAAGCCACATTTCAGCCCAATCGGACCAGTAGTTAATGCGTGATTGAACTTCAAACAAACAAACTGTCACATTTATAATATTAGTAAGAGTATAATATAGTAACACTTTCTTGTGGTTAGTAGTAGAGCATCATACAAATAATAATTCATAATTTTCATCATGTTATACACTCAATGTTTTGATCACTTTACGAACTGTCACATTGTTCTCCAAGCTGGTAAAGTCCACAAGCTGTAGTACAAGGTAACCCATACTTTGTTGCAGGAGCATTGCAAATTCTTGCAGCTAGTAGAGTAGTTGCAGTGAACAAATCTTAAAAGAATCTCTGGTGCGGCACTTTGGGTCATCGAATCGTTTTTATTGTTTATTTTTTCCAGCAGAGCATCTCAACGTGATTTTTTTACATTAATTGAAAAAACTCTTCAAATGAATAATAGTTCTTTTCTTTTTTTAGCAGTTGATTCACTAGATTTATGAAATAATTTTGGTTTATTTTACTTTTTAATTTGGTAGGAAAATGATTCAAAAATTTTGATCTCATGAAGGTTTCCTTTTTTTAGTTTTTCATAGAAGCTGAGATTGATAAATTTATATAAATTTTATTTCTAATTTCATATGAATGGACAAACCGTGTGCACGTTTCCATTTGTTATGTTGTGTTATTGATTAAATCTTTATTTTACAATTGTATTTCATTGACACATCAGGAGCAACTAATATACGACTCCAACGGAAGGAAAACCAAGATATAAAAAAGAAACACTGTTAATTTTAAGTAACATAAAATTGATAATTTTAAAAACATATTTTGAATATTTGTCTTTTTATATATGGTTTTTTATTGTAGTCTAAATTAGGGACTATGGCCCCTACAGGCCACTAGTTATAGTACATATTGATAAGACAGTCAAAATGTGTAGTTTTGAAAATTTATTTTTTACAGTTATCGTTTGTCTAAGTAAGTATAGCATGATTCTTATAGCATTTTTAGAGTTTCAGAACTGAATCTAAATTTTTTGGGCGTTCCTCCATAGATTGCCAGAACATAAGACAAAATATTTTTATTTTAGAATATCCAGGTTACATTAGTGACACTGGCCTAATAACATATAACCCTGAAGAAAGTTGTTGTATTATGATTTGTGTATATTTAAGATTTGTGTCTAGGTTAAGCCCAAAAATTGAGTATGCTTAAGATCTATTTTTACGGGGTAAAAATGGGATTTTCCCATTTTTCACTGTAAAAAGTTGCAATTCATTTCCAAACCATTTTGAAGAGATCATAAAAACAAATAATTTCGTATTCAGAAGCGTTGTTGTATGCCTAACGGTCACGGAGAAAATAAAAAAGTGTACATTTAAAATGACCATGTTATTCTTATGGAGAATAAATAAAGTGTTAAAACTTGCTTGTCTATGGAAATATTTTAGTGAAATTTGGAAATTTTGGCCATATTGAAAAACCCGATTTCCGATACTCCGATTTTATTAGACTTTTAGTATATTGTTTCACATACTTATTGGAAATGTAAACCATCAAAAAATCTTTTAAATCAATTTTTTTAAGGTTAAGGGGTTTTATTTCATATCTTGACTAGACTAAATTTGATCTAAATAACTGTAAACATGAACAACAATACGATTGGAATCATATGAAGTCAAAAAAACATCTGAATAACAGCAGGATTGCCAAAATAAACCTGTACACATGATACATATAATTTTTTTTATAAACTACTTGTGAACTATTACAAAATAAAAGAATTGAATGAGCGTAAAAATAAGTACTGAAACAAATTCTATTACTTGACCCAACACAGAATTCGCTTATGACAAATATGTGTGTGTTTGTATCTCTGGAGACGATACAGGCCACGATGAATTGTTATCCAAGCGTACCAATTAACAATCAAGATATGGTAATTTTCAGAATTTCCATAAGAATTACATAGTTTTTTTATAACTATCCCACCACCACGTAAAATAATTTAATGATTAAAAATGCTAAATTGCATATATTTTTTAGGATTTACAACATGGGTATAGCACAGACTAGAGATAAAAAGTTTTGTTCCCTATAGTGACCAATATTGAAATAAGTTATTTACTACTAACAACTTGAGACAGATTTTTACCTATTTTCAACCTCATACAACATACGTTTACTGTATATTATTTATCTTAAATCATGAATAGTTTATAGATAATACAGTTTCAAAGGTTTGTACCAAATTCGGTCTAAATTGGAGGTTCAGAAGAAAATTTACAGGGAAAATAGTAAGGTTTATTATTTTTTCAAATTTTTGGACGCCATATTGGAAAAATCCAATTTCTGAGACTCCGATTTTATTAGACTTTTAGTATGTAATTTAACATACTTTTTGGAAATGAAAACCATCAAAAAACCTTTTAGAGCAATTTTTTTAAGGTTAAGGGGTGTTTTTTCATATCTTGACTAAATATCAATGCACACTGTAATGTTAATTCTAAAATAAGAAAGAAAACATTAACAAACTTAACAATAGATTAGATTTACCTACAAAGGTCCAGATTCCAACCAAAACCAAACTGTTTTATTGTTAACTCACATTATTGTGAGTGTTTAAATTGCTTATAATATAAAACTCTTTAGATCTTCAATGATTAACCATTGCAATAACGCATCATATTTTTTCATATTCCTGTTTAGAAGAAAACACAGACTTTATCGGAGCGTTTTACTCTCTGCAAGATGTTCTAAAAGTTTTCCACAAAGAACAGGTAAGTGACCCTGTCAGTTGTGATTACTATGGTATACTAACTAGGATAAAATAAAAATGTACATATTCGACGGTATGTGCATAAAATTAGATAGGCAAGATATCAATTAATAATTTAAATTTCAGTAAAGTTCAACCAGCCAAATACAGTTTGGAAAGGATGGTGCCTTGAGCAAATTATATATCAACAATGCAAATTATATAATGATACCTCGTACAGTCACAGAGAAGTAAGGTACAGAGGAAAGCTTATGGGATGACTCTGAGCTTTCAGCTCTAGTATGTTGTGCTGGAAATATACTTGTTACGAGCGAGGAAGAGCCTTGTGGCAGGCACTGTGAGGAAATTTCTATCACACAGTCACAGGGCACGCAGAGGGTCTTCCTCTATCGTGAGCATTGTAGTACACATGTGACATGAGAGCAAGGGGTGGTGTTGGTCTTTGCCATAGACACCAGCGACTAGTGCTAGTCACCACTTAAGTGTACCATTGAGTATTTTCTCTGTACCTAACTTCTCTGTGGTACAGTATAGGTTTACACCTTAACCATCAAAGTGTATGTATTTAACATAATCAGGTATTGGTCCAGGAATAATCTTTTGGGTAGGCCTGACAAGAATCAAGAAGGAGGGGCAAAAAGTGGGGAATGTTAAAATTTAAATGCAAAATAATGAGTTTGAATGCTTTCCCTTTATTTATATATAATTAAATTTCTTCATTTTTTATTTTAAAATATCTACCAAAATTTTGGGTAGGCTTGGGCCTACCTGTTCTATCCTCTGGAGCCACCCCTGAACAAAATGGCTAGTTTGTGACTAGTTTCTTTAGTAAAATTTATTTTTATTATTTAAAGATAAAGATAATTTCTTCTATGTAAGAAGATAAGTCTTCTAATAGTCTTAACAATTCTGGGGTCCTCATTTTGCCCCCACCCAGTTTGATAATGAGTACAACATAGAAGATTATAAATTTTTTAGTTTCGTTAGTTGAATGTATAATAAATTCATACATCATGGGCAGAGTTATACTGACCAGGATCTGTTGGTTCTTAAGTCAGGATCATTGATTAAAATTCTGATTATCAAGGACAACTGGATCCCAGTTTTGAATCATCCAAAAGCTACTGACTTTTTGTTGGATTAGATCCTCATTATCTAATGATGAAATTCTTGTGTTGTTACAGTATAAGTATGATCCCACGGTGATCAAGGCCCTAAGGATGTTCCACGCTTTAGAGGAAGATGTTGGAAATTTTGCACAGTATGATTACAATAATCCCTTCATTGCGATTGAGGGAAACCACCGATCTAGTAAGTGATTTTGAGATTCCAACAGTAAAACAGTCAATTTTTTTTTTAATAGGTAGTAATATTTTGTGATATATTATTTTTTATTCTGGGACTAAAATTTACACAGTTCTGTGGTGGGTTTTCTTGCCCGTGTAAACCTAGCTTAAGATAGTTTTGTTAATCTGGTTCAATTTTTAATTACTGTACAACTGTTGACTTGATGGGATCTGTTACTTCATCATTTTTTCTTTCTTCCAAAAAGTTCTTGGTTACCTAATTTTGTTACATACATTTTCAACTTAAAGAAAAGGAATACCACTGGGAGTGACAATATGGGACATTTCATGAAATCTATAGATTGGGACTGAAACTCAAATACAATCAAATAAAAATCAAATACATTTCTGAGTGATTGCAATTATCAGGAAAATAGCTTTACTTCATAACTCAGACAAAACTTCTTTTGAATTAGAATAAAGCTAAATTTTGTTCTAAAAAGACATGTGTACCGGTACTGTTTAATTATCTACAATATTTGTTGTCCTTTATAAACTTAACCAAAGGTATATGCAAATTGAAAACTTCTAAATTAGTCTATGAGTAGTCCATAAGATATAAAATATAAATTAACCTAAACTGAAATAATTCAGTTATCAAATATTTTCAGTTACTAAAACCATACCTCATTAATGAATGATGAATTGTTAACCAACACCTGTCTGACAGGAAGATTCATTGTTGCGCGTCAGCTGGCTCGAGCGTTGCGCGCCACCAACATGCGCAACCCACCAGAGTTCATGAACTTCCTTAAGTTCCATCTGCACGAGGTGGAGCCGCGTCGCGCATTCTACTCCCTCGGACTCTACGCAAGCGCTCTCGAGGCTCGCAGAATACTACCCGAGCGCCCAGTTGTCACTGCAGGGTAAGTTGACTAGGGTTAGTCAACTACATACACACAGTTACATACACACAGTTTACACACACAGTTACAGTTACAGTTACACACAGTTTGGCGAGGGTTCACCAAAAGGGTAAGAACTTCAAATCTTAATGCAACAGCCAGAGTTTTACAGAGAACTCCTGCAAAGCTTATATACCCTCCACTACGACAGAAAAGTCAACGCCATGATTGAAAGTATATGGTTTCAGAAAAACCACTGAGAGATTCAGAATGAACGATCGCCAAAAGTTTATTAACTTCAACAACTGTTTGTTATGTTTATCAAAAGTATAGTATTTTAAAATAGATTTAGACAGTATATAACATTGTGTAGTTCTTCTAGTACAACTACACAATTTTTTTTAATAATTCTTTTGTAGATCCCTCACTAATTTTCCTAAGTGAAACTTGAGCACGGGTAAAAAATATTCTCTTTACGCCCTAGTGATGAAATATACTTTTATTGGTGTTAATGCAATATTTTTTATGTGTTTTTGTGTGTCGAAGAAGTTTTTTTTTTCTAATTTTTGTTAGAGAACAGTTTTATTCTACTAGGCTCAGTAGAGATCAACGATCTTTTGTTAGATAAAATCATAAATTGATATCTCGATGGCAAATAGCATTTGGGTCAGAATTGTCTCCGCTTGTGATCTAACCAGCAGCCTTCAGAAACAAAGGCGAATTCTGTAAACACTCGGCTATCCATATCTATTCTTTAGGGAAGAAGGAGATAATGTAAAACACTGAAAATAAATGGCAAATGTTTGTTATATTCCAATAGATTTTTTTTACAAATAGAAAGAATTGCAAGAACATTTTAAACAACATTGCAAGAAAAGCAAAAGATTAAACGAGTTGTACATTTTTCATCAGAAAATGAGATTAAGCACAGACAAAAATGAAAATAATATGAGTAGGCCTAGTCATTAATCTGTGGAAGTTGTAAGCAAAGTGGTACGTTTTAAAAAAGGGATGAAATACGATTTGCAATTTTACTGAGCGAAAACAGTTAATTATTCAGCTAAATGTCTTTTTTGTTGAAGGTACTGGTTAGACATAGCTGCTTTCTCTTTATCGAAGAAGTATCCAGACGGATTTCCAGAGAATTCTTCTGAGTTTACCTGGCCCAAAGATCTCCTTGCTCCTGATGTTATATTTTATATAAATTCACCTCCTCCAATAGCTGTAGAAGGGCAAACAACCAAAGCTCCGAATCCGATAAGAGAAAAGTAAGTTTTTCATGTCATCAATGTCGTAATTCATTTATATAGATCAAATTTAAGATTTTTAGTGGAGTATTTATCTCAACTGAATTGAGTTTTGTCAAGGAAATAACTCACCAGGAATAAACATTTCTAAAATTGTAAAACACCTAGAGTACCTATGCAGTAGGCCTAGTACACTTAGCATTGTGTCTCAATTAAATTATTTTTAATTCTAGAACACGTGACTTCTTTAACATGGAAATAAAGCGTCTCATTTATTGTATGGGGTGCCCCAAAAAAACAGGGACAATTTTAAAATGTTATTACTCAGCTGTTATAACAGATGGAGAGTTCGTTGATGTGGCAAATGAATTTTTATTTGATGTCATTTGGTGTATAGTTACCATGGATCATCAATGGTTACCTCAACATCTTCCTTTTGCCATAGAGAATTTTTTCAAGAGTAATGTGTCCTTCATTTCTACTCAGTTTTGTGTTCACTTCAATGTTGGGCGTAATGGTGACACTCCAAACAAAAAAAAATACGACTCAAAGATGGGTAAGCACTTTCCTGAGCACGGCTTCTGTACTCAAAATTAAACCTAAACAAATTTAAATTTAAAAGCAATGTTCTGCAAACGGATGACTTAGGACGCTCGATGCAATTTAGGACACGCAGCACACTCGCGCGAACTATTTCCAATGTTTTCCGGCGTTCGATCAGTTCGAAGTTCCCACTAGGTTTGATTTTGAATGCATCTTTGAGTAGTTTTTCAGTGTGGGGTTGCACCATTACAGCCAAAGTTGAAATGAACACGAAATTGACGTTGAGTAGAAGTGATAGACAAATTATTCTTCAAAAAAGTATCTAGGACAAAGGCACGATGTTGCGGTAACCGTTGATGATCCATAGTAATTATACACTAAATGGCATCAAATAAAGATTCATTTAACGCATCAATGAACTCTCCAGCCTTTATAACAGCTGATTAATAACATTTTAAAATTGTCCCTGTTCTTTTGGGACACCCTTTAGTATATTGTATCAATAGTCAAAGCTATGCCAACTGATATTGATTGTATTTCAAATTTTAAGAAAAATCTCAAGGCTGATTTACATGAGACCAATATTTTTTTCAGGCTTGTTGAAGTGTACAGAAGATGGACCTATCCCAGAGTTGTGGAACTAAATGAAAGACTTTTCTCCTACAGTGAAATGTTTACTGAAATATTTAGACATGTCAATTTTTTAAAACAATCTAAATATAAGAAGTATTTGAATGTAAATAGACACAATCTACAATAATAATTGCAATGCTTGCTGTACTTTGTTTATACAAAAATAATTATACAATTTTTTTACAAAAATAGCGGATTTGTTAACCTTAGTTGTTTTTAAAGCTTTTAGTATTTATTTATTAACTTGGTACAGCACATATACCTAATTTGAATGTTGGTAATAATGTAGTGTCTGAAAATCGGTGATATTTTTCAATGAAGACGGCTGAATTTCTAGTCCTACAGAGGGTGTTCATACTCTGTGGGAGGATTTTATGTGTTTGTTCCTGAGGTTGAGGTTGAGGTATAAGCTATCCAACAATGCTTAGATTTATAAAAACTGTTGACAAATAATTACTTATTTAAAATTTTGTGGGGACCATGTATATAAATTATTATTTGTTCCCATTGTTTCGCTGACAGCTCTTGTAAGGTAATAGATATAGGCTTTGCATGGTTCCTAGTTTTATTTTCTAACTCAGTCAAAAAGTTGTCCGTAAGAATCTTATTTTGCAACTATTATTACCACACTACAGGAGAATGAATATTAACAGCTAGTGATTAACAAACACTGTTTCCATATTGCTCTAAAAGCGATTGGCCACCACAATGCACAACTATAATTTTCCAATGTATCAACACTAACTCTTGACTTTATTGACCACCATCCACTTCAGATACAGTAGCCATCCTCTTGTCAAAAAAGAAAAGTATTTAGCTGAATTTTTCAAATTCCCCCATCAACATTCACTGGGAGTTGGCCCCCTAAGGCAATAGCATTAGATACAAATTTGTAATAGAAATGAATTTATTTGTTGTGAAAAAATATGTAATCATTTCAATAGCGACCGTACCCAAAAGATGTCTTTTTTATTCTAAAAAAAGCACTCCTCAAATACACGATGTCATTAGATGTATTTAAAATTATTGTTGTATTCACAAGTATATTAATGTGAAATTTAGATTGATCTGATAAGGAACAGAAAATATTTCTATTTCCATCTTATCTGATATATTGTTTTAAACAATGTCTTTTAAATTGATTGCTTAGACATTTACTCCATGATATATTTGATCAAAATCAAAGCACAACATTATAATCAAAGAATGAATAATTGTTGAAGCTAACTAAAAACAATTGCAGTACTACAAGTTACATGACAAATACCACAGTGTAGGTTTTAATTGTTTGTTTCACACCTGATTGTACAATGGAGAAAACTTTTTGTATCGTTTATGTTTGCTTAACGCTTTGTGCAAAAATGAGCCAACAAATCATTCATGATGATGAAATGGTTCCAGACTATACAAATGATCATGTTTTAGGATTAGATCCAAACTTTAATGAAACAGATGAGGGAATTATTGGTAAGTTAGTGTAATTTTTCAATTAAATATTAATTTATGTTTATTTTTAACTAAAATAATGAGAAAGTGTCGTTACTTTTTATTTTAGTAACACTGGTACCGGTAGTAGTTTAATTTTTCAATATAACAATAAGAAAGTGTCCTTACTTATTAGTTTAAATATTTTAGATTGAGGCTGAATCAACTTGTTTACAAATCATATTACCACAGCTAGTACTAATTTGCCGATACTAATTGTGTTAAAAATGTTCTATAGACGATTCATCATTAGAGGCAAACTTTACATATTACAACAGCTTGCTGAATGAAACATGGCTCAACCTAGCTAGTGTAATGGATCTCTTCACTCAAAGAGAGGTATGCTGTGCACAGAACTCTATGTGGAGAGGGTAGTCAATAGATCAACGGGGATTTGACAGATTGTTGAGGAGCTAACTGAATGTTGGGGAAGTTGACAGATTGTTGAGGAGTTAACTGAATGTTGACACATTGTAAGAATGTAACTGAATGTTGTGGGAGTTAATATATTGTAAGAGAGTAACTGAATGTTGGGGGAGTTGAAAGATTGTTGAGGAGTTATCTAAATGTTGGGGCAGTTGACAGATTGTTGAGGAGTTAACTGGATGTTGGGGAAGTTGACAGATTGTTGAGGAGTGTTAACTGAATGTTGGGGCAGTTGACAGATTGTTGAGGAGTTAACTAAATGTTGGGGTAGTTGACAGATTGTTGAGGAGCTAACTGAATGTTGGGGAAGTTGACAGATTGTTGAGGAGTTAACTAAATGTTGGGGTAGTTGACAGATTGTTGAGGAGTTAACTGAATGTTGTGGGAGTTAATATTGTAAGAGAGTAACTGAATTTTGGGGGAGTTGAAAGATTGTTGAGGAGTTATCTAAATGTTGGGGCAGTTGACAGATTGTTGAGGAGTTAACTGAATGTTGGGGGACTTGATACATTGTAAGGTTGAGGGAGTTGACAGATTGTTGAGGAGTTAACTGAATGTTGACACATTGTAAGAATGTAACTGAATGTTGTGGGAGTTAATATATTGTAAGAGAGTAACTGAATTTTGGGGGAGTTGAAAGATTGTTGAGGAGTTATCTAAATGTTGGGGCAGTTGACAGATTGTTGAGGAGTTAACTGAATGTTGGGGGACTTGATACATTGTGAGGTTGGGGCAGTTGACAGATTGTTGGGGAGTTAACTGAATGTTGGGGGACTTGGTACATTGTAAGAGAGTAACTGAATGTTGAGGGAGTTGACAGATTGTTGAGGAGTTAACTGAATGTTGGGGAAGTTGACACATTGTCACATTGTAAGGGAGTAATTGAATGTTGGCGGAGTTTACAGATTGTTGAGGAGTTAACTGAATGTTGGGGAGTTGACACATTGTCGAGGGGTTAACTGAGTGTAGGGGGATAACTATTGAGGGGAATGTACAGACTGTTGGGGGAGCAGACAGATTGTACAGAAGTTAACTGAGTGCAGGGGAGTTAACTAATGAGGGGAATGAACCGATTGGTGGGAGGGTTTCCAAAGCTGGTCTTGTTTTTCAACATTTTTTCATTCTCACTTTGAATACGAGATAACAAGGACCTATCACAATTTGTATAGAACAACAAAAATCAATCAGTAGAATTTTCAAAATCAACATTGTTTTGTTAATTAATTAGTAAATACAAAATTGGCATATTTTGGTTTCAGTGTAGGTTAACTAATATGCCGTCGTGTGTCACAGTATGACAACTCGTCCGCTGTTCAAGCGTTGACTGCAGCTTTCCGCTACACTCTCAAGCAGCAGAAGAAACTAAAGAACCCACCAGCCTACCTCAAGAAACCTTTTATAACGATTGAGGGGATGGATGTTGATAGTAGGTATTAGCATACATGCTTTATGATATCACTTCATAAGCACATCACTTTATCAATATCATGAGATTGTTACAAAAAACAGGACTTAAGTATGGAAGATAAGCGAGATGTCTTTTGTAGTATTGTTACTAACTAAAGTCAGCTGTTTCGTTAGGAAAACCATTTCCAATTATCAATGTTAACTCCCAAAAAGTAACAAATATTTGTTGAATAATAAATTGCTGACATTAGAATATAAGTTTTATAATAACAAATGTTTATTTAACATCAAAATGGCATTCAAATGAAGTATGTAATTTTAGGTAAGAAAAAAATATTCAAATTAATATGGAATGTACGAAAACTATAAAAAAAATTCTTCATCAATAAATTTTAAAGGTGTATATAACTGATTATATAATATCAGTTATTCCTAAATGTAATAATATTCCATATCAGAAAATATTTCTTTCAGAAAGAAACATGCTAGCAGGTCGACTAGCGCAACATATCAATGGCCATGTTGTCCCTAATCCTCCTGATACCTTTGAGGTTGTCCTGAAACATCTACCGGACAACTCGACCACTTTGATCAACGGCTATTACGTCCTGAATACTTATATTGCCGCCCTACACGCCAGATATGCCATACAGACTGCCCCTGCTGTAATACCTGGGTATGTGTAGTAGATAGCTGAAACTGAATAAAATGCTGCTTTTGAAATCCATAAAAAATATTTTGTTATAAATTGGCATAATGCATGTAAAGTCCATAACCTAGTTACGCGGTATTTTTGAGCCCCACACTGAAGAAGCAGTACCGGTAAATATAATTCTACGGGTAAGTATTGCTAATCCTTTGGTGATTAAGAACCTCGGACATTCTTAGAACTGTTATGGATGGATAATTGGGGGATGAACAGAATATTGTTATAACTATGGGTTATCATACATTTACTACAACTCCTTGTAGCCAACGCGTTTTGTAAAGGAGAACAAACTTATTTCAATGCTTGCAGCATTTTGCGATCAATTAGTTTCCATAAAGCAAACAATCTAGAGAAAATCATCACCAGAAGAAAAATAACACATTTATATAATTCTCAAAACCTGCTTCAAGAAAATGAGTACTAAATAGTAAGCAAGAGACATTTAAAGTGTTTTTAAAGTAAATAAGCGAACAGGAGATTTTCGGCCATAGGGCCGTAAAAACCTGCCGGTTTAAGTTTTAAAATTTAAATTGTTGCCATTTTATTAAATTAAATGAAAATTACATAATAACTTTTTTTTCTAATTGCCCATTGACACAATAAATGTATGTACGTTTGGTTTCCGTAGCTTGAATAATTCTTGAGATTGTTTTGTAAAAAATACAAAATGGCAGCTAGCAGCTAAACAAATTTTTTCGACCTTTGTTTGTACTAAGATTTATGTTTAGATCAATTAGTACTATCAGCCCCTGAAGTTTGTGACCCCCTTTATGAACATCCTGTAGTTTTAGAAGATAATGTAATACAATAAATTATATTAAATTAACTATGAATATTGTTGTAGCTATTGGTTGGGAAGGTCTGCCTTAACAGTAGCTACACATTTTGTTGACAAACCTCCCCCATTCAAATCCAAGTTCTGGGAATGGCCAAGAGACCTCGTGAAGCCAGATGTCATTTTCTATATAACAGATCGGCAGTTCATGAAGCAGTATGAAGATAGAAAGCTGGTGCGAAGGTTAGTGTGCAACGTGTTATCAATATTTTCTTAAGATAAAGGTACTGAAGCATACAGTCTAGTCAATGGTATAAGACACAGTAGACCATACAGTCTAGTCAATGGTAGAGTAGTATAAGACACAGTAGACCATACAGTCTAGCCAATGGTAGAGTAGTATAAGACTCAGTAGGAGTAGACCATACATTCTAGTACAATACAATATTCTTTACTGTTCATTCGTCAAGAATTACATTAGTGTCAATACAATAGTGAATTGTACGTGTTAATTTACGTAATTTTAATAAAATTCCTTTATTGAGGGAAGGTTTTTTTCTCCCAAAGAGTTGCTCAGTGAACTGGTAGGGCAAATTTGGACCCATGACGGGTGTTGTAGTGGTGCAGGTCTTGGTTTCTTGGGGGGTTTATTTCATTCACATACTTTATGGTTTCAAGTATTTAGAGAGACACCACTGTGAGGATTCCTAGGTTTGCGAATGCTAGTCTGCAAGTCTGTGGTGGGACAAGGTTGGCAAGGGCTCTTATGGCTTTCTTTTGAAGAACAAGGATTCAATTCATATTTTTTTATGAAGTTCCTCCCCACACTATCAAGCCATATCTAAGATGCGACTCTATCAGTGCGAAGTAAGCTGTTTTGGCCACAGATAAAATTAAGAGTTTTTTAATTAGTCAATGGTAGAGTAGTATAAGACACAGTAGACCATGCGGTGTAAATGGCTAAAGTAGTCTAAGACACAGTAGACCATAATATGGTCTAGTCAATGGTTGAGTAGTCTAAGACGTAGTAGACCATACAGTCTAGTCAATGGTTGAGTAGTCTAAGACGTAGTAGACCATACAGTCTAGTCAATGGTTGAGTAGTCTAAGACTAGTAGACCATGCGGTCTAGTCAATGGTTGAGTAGTCTAAGACGTAGTAGACCATACAGTCTAGTCAATGGTTGAGTAGTCTAAGACACAGTAGACCATACAGTCTAGTCAATGGTTGAGTAGTCTAAGACGTAGTAGACCATACAGTCTAGTCAATGGTTGAGTAGTCTAAGACGTAGTAGACCATGCGGTCTAGTCAATGGTTGAGTAGTCTAAGACACAGTAGACCATACAGTCTAGTCAATGGTTGAGTAGTCTAAGACGTAGTAGACCATACAGTCTAGTCAATGGTTGAGTAGTCTAAGACGTAGTAGACCATGCGGTCTAGTCAATGGTTGAGTAGTCTAAGACACAGTAGACCATACAGTCTAGTCAATGGTTGAGTAGTCTAAGACGTAGTAGACCATACAGTCTAGTCAATGGTTGAGTAGTCTAAGACGTAGTAGACCATACAGTCTAGTCAATGGTTGAGTAGTCTAAGACACAGTAGACCATGCGGTCTAGTCAATGGTTGAGTAGTCTAAGACGTAGTAGACCATACAGTCTAGTCAATGGTTGAGTAGTCTAAGACGTAGTAGACCATGCGGTCTAGTCAATGCTGGTTGAGTAGTCTAAGACTAGTAGACCATGCGGTCTAGTCAATGCTGGTTGAGTAGTCTAAGACTAGTAGACCATGCGGTCTAGTCAATGCTGGTTGAGTAGTCCAAGACGTAGTAGACCATGCGGTCTAGTCAATGGTTGAGTAGTCTAAGACACAGTAGACCATACGGTCAAGTGAATGGTTGAGTAGTCTAAGACGTAGTAGACCATGCGGTCTAGTCAATGGTTGAGTAGTCTAAGACACAGTAGACCATGCGGTCTAGTCAATGGTTGAGTAGTCTAAGACACAGTAGACCATGCGGTCTAGTCAATGGTTGAGCAGTATAAGACACAGTAGACCATACGGTCAAGTGAATGGTTGAGTATTCACCTTCCCCCCCAAACACATGTGAAAAGTGTAATATTTGGGATTTGAAGCTATGAGTTGACTCATTGTTAGGTTCTCATGTTAATCTAATTTTAAGTTCTTTTAGTTAATCAACTGCCAAATTTTAGCCTTTGTTTTACAGAAGATCTTAATTAGTCCTCATAGTAAATGTTTATTAAATGATAGTTCAAATACATTAGCAATAACAATTTAATTTGCTAGCCTACCTGCTAAACATGTGCAACAGTTTAGTTTTATATGTTTTAAAAACTGTGACAGTTTTTTTTTTTTTGTATTTTGTTGACTATTTCAAGAGGCTTTAATCGTTACGTACAATGCTCAATAAAATTACTGGAAAGATAATTAGGAAATGCCTTAATAAACTAATACAACCTCCATAATACACATGTGCTTATTACTTCTGACACCAAAGTTTCTAGAAATCAAGTGCAATGCTAGTAAATAACATAAATATTTGAATATTCTTAAAATCCTATTCTCATTAATATTGTTGATTCATCAAGTTAATGGTTTTGGTTTGCTTTCAGATACCTTCATATTTTCGACAACTGGGCTGATCCTAAGTGCATTCCTTTGGTGAATTGTGAGTCGATTGATTCCATGATAGAAGAGATAGAGCCTTATCTTCAGGAACTACTTGTTAATAGACTAACAATGTAATCAGCTGTTCTAAGCTCCAGTGATAACAGAAAATAACAGATGAAAATGTGTATTGAAATTGTAAATAAAATGTATATCTGTAATTTGTAAATAGACCTATTTTTAATTAAAATATTAAGTGCTAAGGTTACTTTTATTACTCGCTGTCTCACATACTTCCTTTATTTTAGCAATTTCCCATATAGGGAATAAGCTATTACCGTAGTACTCATCGTAAGACCTGGACCTGGGACTGATTTACTTTTTTGTTTTGAGGTCCCTAGAGGCCAAAATCACCATCCGTTCAAATTCATATATATATATGTCCGTTAGGACGATAACTTAGGCAAAAATGATATGATTTTGATTAAATTCGGTATAAACGGGTAAACCCACATTGATTCAAACGAGTTCGTGAACCACCATGATCGGACTATGGGAAAGGGGATTTAGGGGGGGGTTTTATGGGATAAAAATTGGTTTTTCCCATTTTTGACCAAAAAATATTAAATTTACTTACTATTTGTAGAGCTTAAAAAAACAAATAATTTATTATATTATGCGCCTAATGGTTACGGAGAATATTAAAAAAATATTGTAAATTTAAATTCCCATGTTATTCTTATGGAAAGTGTTGTAGTTTGCTTGTTTATGAACATATTTTGATCAAATTGGGAAAATGCATTTATTTCTTACTTAACTATTAACATAAAAAAAACACTTTCTTACCCTCCCTGTTGCAGCATTTATAAGTGAGTGAAAATTTAAAAACGTACGTTTTCATGTCCCTGGCCTTTTACTTCGTAGATACTGGATTTGTAGTTTATTATTATGTGTTATAATATTTTTTGGGATGGGGGCAACATGTTACACACATTTATTCGGTTTTAAATACGGTCTAGGTATTTTTTTCGTATTTTTAAAGTCTCGAAATTCACGACCATGACGTGTCCCTAGGGTACATTTTCCAACTTTCACGCTGTTTTTAGACTAATTATTCATGCTGAAATATATAAAGCCATATTTTTATGTCATCAATGGTTATTAAACTGACAAAAAAGGAGCATATTATAATTTTATTGTCATTACAAACTGACTACAATGACATAATAAGTCTGTCCCTCGATTTGGCGTCACGACCATTTGGGAAAATTTGTCAACTTTGGAGCACGACAGTGGCAAGCCTGGCGTCGATGGAGTCAGTTGGTTTTAGAGACTAGTTCGGGGTGTACGTCAGGATTGTAGTGCCGGTCGTTTCGAGTTGAAAGGAGGAATTACAAGATTAATAAAGGAAAGATTGTGTTTTTTGTAATTTTGGTGTGTCCATGACTGTACGTAGTCATTCAATGAAGTAGACATGGTGTTAATTTTTGTTTATAAGATATTTCAATTGCTAGATTAACCTAGAAGTCCACTTTGTATCCTCAAACATGAGGTGCAGGGCTACCGCCAGAACAGAGCCAAATAACACGTAATTTCACGACCAAAGTTTCACGACCATTGCGGGTTTTTTCACGACCAATCCAGCCTTATGGATTATAGTGTGTTTGGTCGTGACAATAACTTTAATATAATTGTAAATTGAACGGTTTAGTTCAATTGAAACACACATTTTTATTATAACTAACAGGATAATTGAAGGATTGTTTAGAAAGATTTACATTATTCCAGACAATTCACGACCGTACCGCTTGTCCCTGACCATCACGTTTATGATTTCTATCATAAAAATTTCAAAAATTAAAATATCGTCATATTTCAATGTTTTATACACAAAAGAAGCACACCTCTATACAAACATAACGACTTTTCGGGTCTCAGGTAAGTTTTTTCGGAGTTATACAAACTTAAAAAGATTTTATTGGCTTTTTTCAATTTTTTGAGTTTTTTTATTTTTTTCTAGAAAGACCAAATATACCAAAAGCTCAGTGACCTTTTTATTGTATAATAGTCATAAAAGTAAATTAGTTTATAGCAAAACATAGTTATAAAAATAATATTAACTATTTTAAATATCTATCTATATATTAATAGGCAAGCATGTTTCTTTAAAACCTTTTTTCTCAGCTCGTGTGCATCGTAGGGGAAATCTACACATACTGTTAGAAAGATATTTGCCTGTAGATGGGCAGAATCCCTTTATAAATTAAAATAGGCTACAAAATAAGCACAAAAAACGAATTTGAAAACTTCAAAACATTAACATGGACCAACTGGGTTGCCATGCTGGTGACGAAATAACAACAAAATGTAAACAGAAAATCAAAACAAATGGAAGAAATCCCAATCACATGTTTTATTTACAGTGTGGGGAGAAAATAGAGAAGTCTGTACATTAATTATTTTTGGTCGAGTTTCGACCACAGGACGACCACTAGTTCAATTAAATGTCCGTTATGGTCGTGACAGGATTTTGTGTTTTTCCACTAAATATGCTCTTTTAAAAAGAAACTACCAAGGATATTGCGTTACCATGGACATTTTATGAAACTTCAAATGTTAATGAAATAAAAATAATAATAAAAGTTTTGAAAAAAGGTGACAAAAATTTGCAAAGTGTGTTTCCTGAAAACGTACGTTTTTAAATTTTCACTCAAGTACTCTTTAAAATAACTCTATTTATAGTCGGGACCACGAGAGTCTGCAGTTGGCGGCAGCCAATCACAAGACAAGGCTAGTGTGTTGCCATATCGCCCGTTTACGACACTAATTAAAATACTAAACAATATTCTCAAATCAGCTCTTATTATTAAATTTGGCAACACCGCACTGTCCTCATTGGCTCTTTCGAAGTCACGTGGTAAATAGGATCCTCCCTCAACTGCAGACTCTCGTATAGTCCCGACTGTAGATATGGAATAAATGTAATATTTTTAAGGATACATTTTAGTGTTAATCCAATCAGGTAAAATGGAAATTCGCTTAGTCTGCAGGTTTGCTGCAGCGGGAGAATTTATCCTTCAATTGTAAGAGTTAAGTAAATTTTAGGGAATTCTCGAAATAGGGCATAAGCAATTAAATACATTAGGTCTCATGGTATGAAAAAAAAAAAAAAAAAAATTCTTAAATATCTATATATAAAGTCAAAAGTACCCATAAACTTTTGAGAAAACTACAAGTCACATACTTATAAACCATATATTTAAAATGTTCGTCATGACGAGAAACCTTGTGCAAACTATCCATTATTTCATAAATTGCCCTTTAAGGTCATAATTGCTTTCCAAAGGGAACTTTCCATGTAGCTAATGTTAAACATACCTCAGCTGTACTTATTTATATGTTATTTTTCAATTTATTACTTTATCAAAATTAGGTATGATTATTTGTTTATATTACTGAATTCTGTTTTGTTTATTTCAGCTTAACTTAACCAATCAATAGTTTTATTAATACTTATGAAGTCAAACAGGGGCGAAGCCCGTGGGTTTTAGCATAGATAAATAGAATAAATATTTGCCGTGTAGTTACGGCGCACACAGCTGCAGGCGAGGAGCCAAGGCCACACTAAAAGTTTTTTTAGTGTGGCCTTGGAGGAGCGCAGGAGCCGTATGTGACCAGCAGACGCTGCAGCGTTGTGCGCCGTAACTACATGGCAAACATAGTGAGGACGCCAGAACTTATGATAACCGCAGCACAGCTGACGGTCTATATTTATTCTATTTGTCTATGGTTTTAGCTAGTTTGGTTAATGACTTGAGGTGCTCTTGATGCATGAAGTTTCTCAATAAGTTAAAAAAAATCTAATAAGATTTTACCAAAATTTTAAAAACAAATTTTGTTTTGTGCAAGTAAAATATAACAACATTTAGATATTTCTAAAAATCTATTCTCATAAATGTTTTATTCAATTCAAATCAAATAATCACACTCCAGTTATCCAAGCAGAATTGCAAAAAGACAGTTTGTTGACAATCGTATCCATTAATGCTCAATCAATTCGGAATAAACTTGGAACTTATAGAAACAATGCTTATTGATAAACCTGCTGACATTGTCTGCATCTGTGAACACTGGCTATTTGATGAAGAGCTCCCATTCTACACTCCCGAGAACTTCGCGTACTTGGCGGCAAATACTGCAGGTTTCCTCCGCTGACTCACGGCGGCTCCGCAGTGTTTGTTAAAATTAACATAAATTTAAAGTCTATCGATATCACTGATTTATGCTGTAATAGTATCTTTGAGGCCTCTGCAGTTAATCTTTGTGATTTAAATTGTATAATTGTGAATGTTTACCGTACACCAGATTCTAATTTTTGTGACTTTGTAATAGCCTCTAGAATGTTTATTATTAACTAGGTGAAACCAATCGAAATTACCATTGACTATATATACACACACACTATAGCTAATCTGTAAACTTATATAAATCGATTCAAAACAATGTCACAAGGTTGGTAATTTAAGTTTCTAGCATTCTAGCCGTAACATGGCTGGTCGAGCGACGGTTCCTTGTCAGTTGTGATTGGGATGTTAGTTAGGTCAATTGTGCCTGTGCTCATTTACCAGTAAGGAATAATTTATAAAATACTTAAATAAACATGAGTTTTATTTCTTTATACTGTAGCATCGGTTAAGAAAATTAAAGCCGCAATGATTAACGGTCAAATGTTGATATTGTTTCAAAATAATATGTTGGTAGACAGGTTTGCTAGACACCAATATGGCGATCCTGGCATTTTAGGTTATCTCGTGAATACAAATGTTTTGTCTTTGTGTAGCGCTAGTCAAATAAACAATTGACCAGCACTGGTAATTGTGATCGGCACTACTGCAATTGTGACCGGCGCTCATGGCCGGTGAGAGCCGTCACAGGCCCCTGGGCTGAGCAATCCCGGGCCCCTTATTTTCCTGATTTAGTGTCCAGCAGCCTCCGTGCGGTTTTGTTACACATATAACATTACATATAAAAAATGCATTGTAGTTTGATTAATTCTCATGCCCACAGTTGCAACTTAATTCCATTCAAAAATTACAAAGTGAACTGGAAAACCGTGCTAAAATTTTTGATTATTTGCAGATTACATGCCTAGAAAAGATTTTACATTTGTTCGGGCCGGACCCCTTTCAGAGCCCAGAGCCCCGGGGATCTGCCCCCCCCCCCCCCCCCAATCCTCTAGCCAGCCCTGCCGGCGCTACTTTTGTAACTGATGTGACGGTCAAATACAATCATATACGGTAATAAATTTAATACATCTATAAATCTTATACAATAATGTACAACCACATGTATTCTTTCTACGTCAATACCAATTTTATACAAGCAAAAAAAAATAATAAGGAAAAAAAGATTAATACTGTAAATTATTTTTGGAACAGTCCCGAATACTTTTTTCACCCTAAGAATAATGTTATTTAAATGTGAAATAAACATGCCTTGTTTATGGAAATATTGTTGTATGAATCCAACTAAACAAATTGAAATTGACATAGTCTGCAAGTAAAATGGCAAGGGTATAGTGGGAAAATAAAGTACCCTAAGTACATTCTATTATGTACTATCCAGACAAAAAAAATAATATGAAAATATTATATAATTTAGATTTGGTCATGCAACTGACAAGCTTAAATAAAGTTTTGGGAGTCTTTTTGTATACTTTAGAAGAAAAAAAGATTTTCCACACTTGTAACAAAGTTTATTGCTATGAATTAAAACAATGTCTGTTATAATTTCTTTATGATGTTTAAGATTTCTCACACATAGTTTGCTCTTGCAAGGTTTCATTCATGTATGAACCCGTGTATGTTTCGTCAAAATGCTTTTTGATGCATATGATTTTCCACATGTATTGCATTTATAAGGTTTCTCTTTTATGTGGACCCATGTATGGGACTTCAAATTGGCTTTGGATGTAAAGGATTTTCCACATTTACTGCATGTGAAAGATCTTTCTCCTGTATGGACGTCTTGTGTATGTCGTATCAAATTGCTTTGGAGTGAAAAGGACATTCCACAATTAGAACACTTATGAGGTTTCTCTCCTGTATGAGTCAGTATATGTGAGTTCAAACCTATTTTGTGATGAAATGACTTTCCACATGTAGTGCAAATATGACATTTCTCTTTTTCATGAACCCGAGTATGTGTCTTCAAATTGTGTTTGTGTACAAAGAATTTTTCACATTTAGTGCACTCATAAGGTCCCTCTCCTGTATGGACTCGAGTATGACAATTCAAATTTCTTCTGGTTGTAAAGGATTTTTCACATTTAGTGCACTTATAAGGTTTCACTCCTGTATGGACTTGTGTGTGTTTCTTCAAATGGCTTTTGGATGGAAAGGACTTTCCACATGTAGTGCATATATAAGGTCTCTCTTCTGAATGGACCCGTGTATGTGACGTCAAACCGCCAGGGAATGAAAAGGATTTTCCACATGTAGTGCACTTATAAGGTCTCTCTTTGGTATGAATCCTTGAATGTAACTTCAAATGGTTTTGGAATGAAAAGGATTTTCCACAAGTAGTGCACTTATAAGGTCTCTCTCCTGTATGAACCTTTGTATGTGACTCCAAATGGCTTTTGCATAAAAATGATTTTCCACATGTAGTGCACTCATAAGGTCTAGGTCTTTTTCCTGTATGGACCCGTGTATGTGAATTCAAATATCTTTTGTATACAAAGGTTATTCCACATATAGTGCACTTATAAGGTCTTTCTTCTGTATGAACCCGTGTATGTGACTTCAAATTGCATTTGAATACAAATGACTTTCCACATGTTGTGCACTTATATCGGTTCCTTTCTGTATGAATAAACAATGTATGTGACCTTAAATTTCTTTTGGATGTAAAGCCTTTTCCACATAAACTGCACTTATAAGGACACTTTTCTGAGTGTGTCAACACATGACTCTTTACTTGATATTGGTAGAAGAATGTTTTGTCACATGTCAAACATTTAAAGGGCCGCTCGCCCGTGTGACAAAATATATGATACTTCATATTTCTTGGACCTGAAATAACTTTTCCACATATTGGACACTTAGCCTTTTCAGTCTGTTTTAACATTTGTAACCTTTCACTTTATGTTCTTGTGAAACTTTTTAGATAATCTTATGCCATGATAATCAGAAGGGTCAACTAATCAATAAGCCTAGTACCTCTATTTTTGAATTTCCTTTTTTTGTAGGACTTGTTAAATGTCTTGCAGTTACATGAATACTGGGCTCATCTATCGATACTTCTGAAAAAGATCATACTATATTAACACATAATTTAGGTGAAATAATGATTACACAGTATTTTAACAAGCCCTACTAGTTGATGAAAATTCTAAAACTATACAGGATGCGTAAAAAAAACCGATCTTTTTTATGTAGCACACTTGTAACGGTCAAAAATTGACACCTCAAAATTTTGACCTTATACAAAATAAATGCGTATTAAACAAGGAGAGAAGATCGTTTTATTTGTTTTGGATAATGAAAGTAGTAATGAACGGAGTGGAAAAGTACTGGGCTGAGCAAACGTTGATCCCTCCTCATCCCGGAAGATTCTCGGAACGGCCGCTGCCGCGCCAGGCGCTAGTGTCGGGCCACGAGCGGGGTGGGGGAAGGCAAGAGCGAGCGGCAACGGAGAGCTCAGTTGCTCAGTCTCGTCCCAGCTACCAGCCGAGTTAGTCACATCCTCCCCGGTGAGTGCAGTATACCTTTTAGTTAGACGTTAGTAACACTGTAGCTACGCTTTACCGCTCATACCTTCGTTTGGACGGCGACATTCGATCGTTGCTTTAAGGATTATTTCGTTTTCGTTAATTAATAGGAGAGTATACTTTTGTTTGCATTTTAGTTTTGCATAGAGGTTATTTGCAGTTTTAAGTTATTCTGGGAACCAGGGTCGCTCCTCTGACACCCAGGGTCACTTCATCGATTTTATTTGTAGCTAGTCATAGAGCCACTATCACTAGAGGTTAGCCCTTTAAGCTTTAATCGTATTGGGAACCAGGGTCGCTCCCCTGACACCCAGCGTCGCTTAGTCAGCTTTAATCGTATTGGGAACCAGGGTCGCTACCCTGACACCCCGAGTTACTTGATCGACTTTCATAGTTTTGGGAACCAGGGTCGCTACCCTGACACCCCGAGTTACTTGATCGACTTTCATAGTTTTGGGAACCAGGGTCGCTACCCTGACACCCCGAGTTACTTGATCGACTTTCATAGTTTTGGGAACCAGGGCCGTTACCCTGCCACCCCCGGGTCGCTTGACCGACCGTATACGTTATTCGTCGCTTCATCGTTTTGGGAACCAGGGCCGATACTCTGACACCCCGAGTTACTTGATCGACTTTCATAGTTTTGGGAACCAGGGCCGTTACCCTGCCACCCCGGGTCACTTGACCGACCGTATACGTTTTTCGTCGCTTCATCGTTTTGGGAACCAGGGCCGATACTCTGACACCCCGAGTTACTTGGTCGACTTTCATAGTTTTGGGAACCAGGGCCGTTACCCTGACACCCCGGGTCACTTGACCGACCGTATTTGCCGTTCTTCGTTACTAGCGATCTAGGTACGATCCCTCGACGCTAGCTCGCTGTTTCATCGTTTTGGGAACCAGGGCCACTACCCTGACACCCCGGGTCACTTGACCGACCGTATTCGCCGTTCCTCGTTTCTTCGTTTTGGGAACCAGGGCCGCTACCCTGACACCCCGGGTCACTTGACCGACCGTATTCGCCGTTCTTCGATTCTTCGTTTTGGGAACCAGGGCCGTTACCCTGACACCCCGGGTCACTTGACCGACCGTATTCGCCGTTCTTCGATTCTTCGTTTTGGGAACCAGGGCCGTTACCCTGACACCCCGGGTCACTTGACCGACCGTATTCGCCGTTCTTCGATTCTTCGTTTTGGGAACCAGGGCCGCTACCCTGACACCCCGGGTCACTTGACCGACCGTATTCGCCGTTCTTCGATTCTTCGTTTTGGGAACCAGGGCCGTTACCCTGACACCCCGGGTCACTTGACCGACCGTATTCGGCGTTCCTCGTTTCTTCGTTTTGGGAACCAGGGCCGTTACCCTGCCACCCCGGGTCACTTGACCGACCGTATTCGCCGTTATTCGTTACTAGCGGTCGAGGCACGACCCCTCGACACTAGCTCATCATTTCATCGTTTTGGGAACCAGGGCCGCTACCCTGACACCCCGGGTCACTTGACCGACCGTATTCGCCGTTATTCGTTACTAGCGATCGAGGCACGACCCCATGACACTAGCTCGTCGCTTCATCATTTTGGAAACCATTGCGACCGTGTTTAGGTAAAGACCTCGCTTGACCCCTGGAAGTTCGGAAACCCGTGCAGGCTGACTTATTTTGGGCACCGATTGAGATATTCCGTACACTCCACCGAAAACACGGTCACATTTTGGCGCCCGAACAGGGACCCTTCATCGTAAATTGTTTAGAACATTTGACAACTTTGCCTTTTGGCTGGCGCCCGAAAACATCGAATTCTACTTTCCAACATGTTTGACAACGTGTTGCCTTTTTTCCTTTGCCCCACGCTGAAGAACTGGAGATGGATTACGACAGCAACGGGAAACCGATACATCATCGATCCCCCGAAATTAAGTAATGATAGCAGACCACCGGCTCAAACGAGAACGACAGCGGTTACGAAGACACCGTCCACGACTACTAACCTTAGTAAAGACACGACCCCACCATCGACTGATGCTACAATGATAACGACAACCGTTCCGACATCAGTAGAAGCTGTAATGACGACCACACACTTGTCACTCCCCTTGCCACCCACTCAAATACCAGGAGGAGAAATAACGGACCAAAGTAATACAAGAGTAGGATGGGTGTACAGACTGGTAAAGACGGAGCTACAAGCCGAACTCGCTACGTATGGCATTTCGACAGATGGAACCGTCGATGAACTTAGAAGCCGACTTGTATCTGTCGTGTGGGCAAACTTGCCAAAAACCCAACTAGACCCGAGCGAAGGCGCAGAATCTAGTCAAATCCTTGCCGATAGACAACAAAAGTCGGAAGACAGGGAAGTTGAGGCCAGCATAATAAGTGAGTTGCTGGGGCTCGAATACGAAGCTGACACGAGGACATTGATATCGCAGCTCAGAAAGGCAATGACGAGTGGGCCAGAGGCAGTTAAGATCCAACCACATAGCCCCGAACCACGAGTTGGGGAACGAATTGGACAGCATTATCAGATGGGCTCAAACCCCAGGCTAGCCGGAACTCGAGATACTTTTCCGGTGTGGGCAAACCTAGAGCCACGACCCATCGCGCGAGTCGAACAACCTGCTCAGATGCCGCAGAACCCACCACAGGGAAGGAACGGCCGAGATACGGACATATGCGGCTTGGTTCGCAAATGGAACCTACGTTTTGATGGCGAAAGGGACGCCATATCCTTTGTAGAAAGGATGACGGAACTTATGGAGGCCTACCAGTTGTACCCGGATGATATGCTCAGAGCACTGCCAGAGTTATTCAAGGACCAAGCCCTACTGTGGTACAGGATGAATAAAGATTCGTGGAGATCACTAGAAGACTTTAAGCAAGATTTTATCAGTCAGTTCTGGCCGGCAGGGTACGATATCAAGCTCGATGACGAGATCAGGATGCGTACACAAGGACCGAATGAAAGTTTCAAAAATTATTTCCTAGCGATTGGTACGCTCATGAGAAGGCGAGGAGGCTACTTGCAGCGGGAGATGGTTGAACGTATATACCGAAACATGCGCCCTGAGTACAAGGCATACGCTCGAAGAAGCGGCTTCGTTCATCTGCCGGGACTTCAGCGGCTGGCGAACGAGTACGAAACGCTCGTCCAAGACTCCAAAAGTTACCAGCCACCACCGGATGCTTCCCGTTCACTAGTACCCGAGACGGCGTACAAGTATAAGCGGAACAAGGATTATCGACACGAGGCCGCGGTCCTAAATGCCATTGATGGCAAAAGTGTATCGTCCAAGGAAGCAGCCGTACAAGCCGGCGGTACCCTAAACGACAAGTGGGGCCATCAGACCTACGAACGCTCCGAAGGACGCCCAAAGTTCGCTTGGATGAACGGAGAAGGCACCTTAAAGCCCGGAAGCTCACAACAGGGCAACGGGTCCCATCGAGCTTATGAACGCAATGTAGAACGAGCGAGAGTGTCCTGGATGAAAGACAACCCCGAACGTAACACAAACGATAGACCCCGGACCACAGAGGATACGAATCACAGAATAAGAGCACCGATAGTTTGTTGGAACTGTGACGCCACAGGACATTTCGCCAGGGACTGTACGAGACCGAGACTGTTGAAGTGTTACTACTGTAAACGACCGGGGATTAGGACTACCGATTGCTGCAGGAACCAGGGAAACGCACAACGGACTCTGTCAAGACAGGGGGCTCAGGGTCCGGAAGTCCAGAATACGAGTTACCCCCAGGGAAAGTGAAGAACGTCAAAGCCAGTGGGATTGGGTATTTCAAATTTGAAGATCACAATACCTCGGATCCAAGACCACACGTTTTAATAACAATTGAAGGTAAATGTTTCGTTGGTCTGCTCGACACAGGGGCAATGATAACGATCATTAATTCGGAAGTGGCCAACCACTTGAAACAAGTAGGTATTGAGGGCCAAAGCTCGGCCATTGAAATCAGGATGGCAAATGGAGTAGTCGCTAACGTAGACACAGTATTCGATGTGGAGTGTAGTATAAACGGAAACCAAATAAGGATCCGAGCCCGACACTTGCCCACTCTTACTGCCCCTTTAGTGATCGGAATGGATGTTATCGGGCCTTTGAACCTAATAACGTATCGAACGCCGCTATATTATGGACCAAAAGACATGTATGCAAATCGGAACCGGCAATTGGCCATAGTTGAATTGACCGCAGATCAGAACGCACGGCTCAAGGACTTTCTGGAGGTCCAGCTGAGAAAGTTTGATAGTTTAAGTGGCAAGACCCAGCTAATTGAGCACAAGATCAAGCTCAAGCATAAGGAACCCATAAAACAAAGAAGTTATCCGAGGAATCCAGCGATGCAACAACTCGTAAACGACGAAGTCAATCGCATGCTTGAAGATGGGATTATTGAACATTCCTCGTCTCCGTATAGTTCCCCTATAGTGCTCGTAAAGAAAGCCTCTGGCGGGCTAAGATTTTGTATAGATTTTAGAAAAATCAACGAAGCGTCCGAAGCCGACGCATACCCCTTG